CTTGATTGAAAAAAATGAAGGAGAAGTTAAGAAAAAACTTGACACAGTTTCCTTTTTGTCATTGGTATGTTTTAAACTTTTTTGAAAACAGTTTAACAAACAATAAAATCTTAAAGTGACATAGCTAAATTGAAACTGCTCCAGACAATTTAAGAAGGCAGAGGGGAAGTTAAGATTACCTGAAGTTATTTTTTTATTTGGGTTAAGTTTAAGGTTAGGTTACTCTCGGCCACATTAACAATAGTACTTTACTGAACTGTTATCTAAAGATGTGTTTTTAGGAATTCTTCAATGTTTTAATAGCTTGATTTTTAAATAAAATTATATTTATTCAAATTATATATATATATATATATATATATATATATATATATATATATATATATATATATATATATATATATATATATATATATATATATATATATATATATATATATATATATATATATATATATATATATGTATATATATATGTAATCATCTATATCTATGAAATCAATGAGATCAATGCTATATATATATATATATATATATATATATATATATATATATATATATATATATATATATATATATATATATATATATATATATATATACATTGCATAATTCTGTACAGTACAAACATGCATATTTTCCAGAGTATGAAGACAAATCCAATACAGCATTTGCTTATTTTAAACCAAAAACCATATAGAATTTTACTACTTCCAACTTTAGTTTTGATATGACTATTCTTTGTTATATATAATACAGCATTTGCTTATTTTAAACCAAAAACCATATAGAATTTTACTTCTTCCAACTCTAGTTTTGATATGACTAAGTTTCAGTTAGATTCAGGAATGTCCTCAACTATAGTTAAGATCTGTCTACGTTGAACTCCACTGTCTTGATACTTTGAGAAGATGAATGCTGATTATTAGGATCATACACATTAAATGCAACCTTCAAAAAATATCCTCCTACATCTGTATTATAAATGAAAGAAATCTAGAACCTTTAGAAGGGTTTAGATTTCTTTGATTTATAATATTCATTACAAAATCACTTATATTTTTTTAACATAAAGTAAGTTGCAATTAATTTTTGACCCTTAATTTCCTCTAAACTCAACTAACTCTGCAAAATAAAACTGAGCAGCGGTCATCCTCAAAAAATTCAACATGTAATTGAGGTTCGTTTAGTTTCCCTAATACATTTTATTTATTGCTTCAAATGAACTTTTTAGACTGGAGACTAAAACTTTGGAAAGTTCTAAAATGGTCTGTAAAGTTAGCAACATCTGAAAAGGGATAATATTTGAAGATTCAGTTCTTCCTGATTTTGAATCTGAAGCACCTACAGTAATTTGAATAAGATTACCACCTGTTGATTGATTAAATTTTGCTCCTTGTTTTCACACAAGGCTACTAAAAATTTGCACACAAAGAAATTGCTTATAATTGTCATTCAAATTATATTATTGTTTCACAACTGATCAAATAAGAAAGAATAGCAATAATAGATCATCTTATAACTGAAAGTGTCCCATGATCAACAGCTTAGCGAATTTTAGTCTTAAGTGAGAAAAGAAGGTTTCAAAGTATTCTGAACTGAAATCTTGTAACTTAAGTTGAATTTTCTTTTTCAGGTGGTTAAGAATTTTTGCTTTAAAATCATTGGAATAAACTCTGTTTTAGGTGAGCCCAAAATGTCTCAATGGGCCTAAATTTTGGTACATTTGGTGAATTATCATCCTTAGAAACATAGGTTATATTAAACTTCTTATAAGTTTCAATTGTTAGCTTTACATAATAACAGTTTGTACCATCAGGCCAAAATATATATTTTATATATTTGTGATGCAAATTGATGAAGGAAACAAGTTTCTTTTCAATGCATTCTTTGGAATATATTTTTGCATCAATGCCATTATTCTTAGTTGCAAAGAAAGGCTTTGATGTACTAAATCTACTGATTGCAATCCATACTAAAACTTTTGATTGAAACTTTGATTTAAATTTACATATAATATTATTTTCAGTTTTGACTTTATCTTGACTATAAAAGTCATCATTTCCAGGTTTGTTTTGCCTGCTCAATGTACAATAGGACTCGTCATCTATGATAATTTAAAACTCATTTGGCGGTCGGAAAAAAGTTTTCAAAAGTTTTAACAGTCATTGTTTTTGTTTAATTATTTGAATTTCAGATCTTTTTAGTGCTTTCTTTCTATTGAAATGTCCATGCACGTTAAAAATTTTATAAACATAACTTCTAATTTTGTATTTTAATGCAAGTTTTCTCTGGGAGATTCCACCTTTATTTTCAGCCTTGTTGAAAATAAAGGTGGAATTTTTCTTATGTCCATTTTGTAATAATATTATAAATTGTTTGCCTTGCGACTTTCATTTGCATAAAATGATGCACTGTAAATGTTTTCCCTATGTCTATGTTATCTAAATAGAAGTTTCCAATAAGGTTTCATTTGTTGTTTTCTTTAATTCCATTCATTTAATTTATATAATTTTAATTGTTAAAATTGGTATCAGATTATGAAATAAGAATGTCTAGTGATTATGAAATAAGAATGTCTAGTGATTATGAAATAAGAATGTCTAACTTCGAACTGCAGAAATATTTGAATTTGTTTGCCAGTTTCGAATGTTCAAATTTTGTGCAAATTTTTAGTAGCCTCGTGTTAAATTTTGGTTGTCCATTTTATTCTTAAATAATTTAAGCCACCTGTTCTGCCTGTAATGCGCCAATGCCAAAAGCTAAACCAGTAAGGTTCGGAACTGCCTGACTTTTAAAGCAATTATGAGCTCTTCCAGCACCTAAAAACTACATGTTGCTACATTGACTATCATATAGTCTGCTGCTACAAGGGAGTACTGATACATTGACTATCTTATAGACTGCTGCTACAAGTGCTGCTACATCGACTGATTATGTTATCGTATTCTACAAATAGATTTTCAATTTTCTTAAAGAACAAAGCAATAATAAATAAGTAAAAACACTTACCTAATTTATATATATATATATATATATATATATATATATATATATATATATATATATATATATATATATATATATATATATATATATATATATATATATACACACAATTTGATAAGATTTTTACCAATTATGTCAAAACAATGGTGGCATAGATTTTTTCTTGTGTCATTAACAGTTTCAGTTTGTTCAGATTGGAAAATATCTGTTTTATCCACATTGCATCTTACTACTGATTCCGTGTGTATCTATATATCAATAAATCAGAGTCTGATATAACTTTGCTAAATTAAAATTGTTTTCATAAGACTTTTACAATATTACCATTTTTATTACTAACTTTTAAATTTCTATCACTTATTTTCAAATTAATATTCAAAATGTATAAACGTAATACATATATATATATATATATATATATATATATATATATATATATATATATATATATATATATATATATATATATATATATATATATATATATATATATATGTATATATATATATATATATATATATATATATATATATATATATATATATATATATATATATATATATATATATATATATACAGGGCTTGTGATGAATCGAGCGCGATCGCGCTCCGCTCATGAAACGCGTCCGTAAATGGTATTTTGAAACGTTCCAGGCGCAATAAACAACGCTCGTTCAGCTTATAACATAATTAGTTCAGCTTATAACATAATTAGTATAGAGCGTATAAAATAACGCTCGTCTAAGAGTTCGGGGCAAAACAAATAATAACTTTTTATTTTTATTTTCATAAAATATGAAAAAAAAGATTTTTTATTAAAGATTTTATATTATCGAAGCACTAATATAATATGAAATAAAAAAAGCACTACGTCATTCTTTTTTGCACTAACCTAATGAATGAGCAGTTTGAAGTCGTTAATAGGCACTAATTTCATTGATGGAATGTGCATGTAGAAAAAATGCACAAATAAAATAATAAAAAATTAGTAAATCATTATAAGAAAATTGAAACTGCAGAATATTTTTAATCTTCTGAAAACATCAAGTAAGATTTATTTGATTTATTGTTTGTAATATTCGCTTTAGAACTGAAGTTACCAGATATGAGTGACGAATTAGCTGCATTCAGTTTCGAAAATGTAGAAGAGGAAACATCGTTGACAACAGTTGAGGGGAAAATCTGTTATTTAACCTATAATGAATAGTTTAAAAAAAAAAAGATTTTCAAACTTTCTTGTGTTATTTTTTTAAGATAAAAAAATCGTAATTTAAAAAAGAAATTTTAGAAATAAATTAATTTGAATTTTTTTCTGATAATAATAATAATAATAATAATAATAATACAGTTTTAAGAGATTCTCTTGCTTTGGATAAACTATTCAAGCCTGGATCATTACCAAAGGCATTGAACAACTAAATTAAAATATGTGCTTCTGCAAAGAAAATTTTTGGTTATAAAGTAAATGGATGCTACTAAATTGCAAGAAATTTGAAGTGAGGTTTTGGGTATTATGTGAGGCACATGTGGCTATTGTCTGCTTTTCTAGTTACTCTTGAGTCCTTAATAATAAAAAAATAACTTTGTGTCCAAATATCTCAATGAAAGCATCACATTTTTTTTGATCACTTCTATACTAGTTATCAGCTAATGAAATCTTGTCAGAAGTACACATATGTATGTGAAGTCCTTTTTCTAGCAACGAAGTTCACAGTAAAAAATTGGGGAGAATGGGAAGCTAAATAATTAATATGCTGACAATGTTCTTGTGCTTTGCACTGGAAGAGCAAGCATAATTTATTCACTTTATGTGCTGCCTATAGTTCTAGAAAACACCATCAAATGGTACAATAGAGATAGTGATCAAAAACCTGAATTTATTTATCAATACATTTGTTTATGTGTAGATGGAAGGAGTGGATAAATTTAATCAATATTTGTCATAATATGGTAATGAATGGTACTTACCATCCATTACCATATTATGACAAATATTGATTACATTTATCCACTCCAATTTTTTTTATATTTTCTATATGAAAATACAAAATTTATATGTTTATAGTAATATAAATTTATATAAATTTTGTATTTTCATATAGGAAGTATAAAAAATTTTATATAAATATAATTTAACTAAAAGATCTAGACATGTATATAAATATATTAGTAAATATATTTTTATATTTGACTAAACCAAAATTTGGCAGACTTGTAAGCTCTTGATATCAACAAGTTTTAAATGCCAATTCAAAATGTTGATATTTTCTTGTTTAGTTCAATAAACTCTATAATCCATTTCTTTTAAATTTTGAAATTTGGTTGATTAGTATAAATAGCATTCATTGGTTTAAGAAAATTTTTATTTTTATTCTAATTTGATATCATATTTATTACTATATAACTAAAGAGTTGTTTTTTGATTTTATGAATTTTTTCATTCTAATTTTTTATCATATTTATTTATTTTTTAATTATTCTTAATTTTTGAACTTTCTTTTTTAGTATGAAAATTTATTTTACTTTTAACTTACTTTATTTTTAGTTCAAATATGCCGATGGTTTTGACTATCTACTCATTTTTTTTGCTACTATTGCATCATTTGGGAATGGGTTAGCACAGCCTGCATCATTTATTATTTTTGGAAAAGTAATTCAAGACTTTATAAAGTTTGCTCAAAACACTGATAATAGCTTCAATATATTAGATTCAATGAAAAAATTGGCTATTTTTTATTGTATTTTAGCAGCTGCTATGTTTGTTTGTTCTTTTTTTCAAGCAGCATTTTGGTCACTTTCTGCTGCTCGTCAAGTTCATAAAATTCGTATAAAGTTTTATAAATCAATTCTACAGCAAGATGTTGGTTGGTTTGATGTCAATGATCCTGGAACTTTGACTACAAGACTTTCTGAGTAAGTACTTTCTTGTTTATTTATAATTTTTTGTTATAACTTCTCATTAAAAAAAAATAAAAAATTGTACAACTTTAATTTTTAAAAAAGGGAAGCAAAAAATGACAATTAAATTGATTAAAAATTGAAAATCATATTGGTGTCTTTTATTTAGATTTAAATTTAAAAGTTGAAGTAAAAACCAAAAATAACAAGTTAAAGTGTATTTAAAACTTAAATTTTAAGTTTAATAACTGTTGAAATTATGCAATAGAAATAAGCTTATGGGAGCCCTTGTTTAATTTGTTATAAATGTTTGTGTCTACTGTTCCAGATAGCACAAGTATGTTGGCCCAATGGTGGAACAATTTTAAGAAATTCTTAACTGATGTTGGTAGCTGATGTTGGCTCAACATGAATCTGATCATCAGTGCAATGTTGTAGCCAACTGTCATCTAACATTAGTTTAACTTAGGCATCCTACGTTGGGCAATCGCTGCGTTTTAACATTGGCCCAATGTAATTTTACAGTTTTCATTTAATTTTTTGTCTTCATAGTCTTCTTATGAATCTTTACTTCTCTTGAGAAACTCTAACATTCAAATGATCCTCATATGTTTTGATTAAATCTTTTCGGCTTGCATCTTTCGGAAGGTGGAGAGGCTAGGGCTATTGCTCCTGACATATCTAAAGCTTTCAAAAAAGTTTGGCATGCTGGTCTCCGTAAGCTTGTTTCATTAGTTGTATCTAGGAAAGTTTTTAAGATTATCAAATTGTTTCTTTCAAACTGCTTTTTTAAGTCATCCTCAAAGGTCAACACTCTTCTTTATTTCTCTTTCATTTTCCGTTTAGAACAGCTGATTTTGAACTTGATCTCACTTCTGTAACAGATTAGGGCTCACAGTAGCTTATAAATTTAACTTCAACAAAACTAAGTTATTTACTGCAAACAACTATTGCAGTACTGTCTACATTCCTATACTAATGAATGGCAACCTTCTAAGTGAGTCCTCTTCTTTATGTCTTCTTGGATTATTGTTTACTACTGATCTTTCATGGAAACCATATATACAATCGATTGCTAAATTAGCATAAGCTAAAGTTGTTTCTCTTCATGGTGCTTGCTGATTTCATACTCCTGGTTCCATTCTCAGTCTCTCCTGGTTACTCCTGGTTCCATTCTCTACCTCTAAAAATCTTGTATTATGATGCTATTTCTCTTCTAGACAAGGTCCAAAAACACATTGTAAACATAGTTGGACCCACTCTATCTGCTAAGCCTGAGCCTCTTTCCTTCACCATAAAGATGCATCTCTTTCTTGTTGTAATGCAACTCTTTCTTGTCAAAAATTTGCATCTTTTTTTCAAGTATCATGGTCGCTGCTAAAAGGAGCTATTATCTCTAGTTTTATCAACTAAAACTTATTCTCGATTGATTTGTTATTCAGCAAAGTCTCATTCTTTTATTGTATCTGTCCCTGCATGCTCTAAAAACTTTTGTTTGTCTAGTTTTTTCCCTGCACTTCAACCCTTTGGAAATCTCTCCCATCTTCATGTTTTCCTGACTCATACAACCTTCAACTTTTTAAGTCTTCTGTCAACAGTTTCCTTGCTCTATAATTCTATTCTTTTTTAGTAGCTCCCAACTTAAAAGCGTTGTTAGGAGTGAAACTTAATAGCCTTGTTAGGAGTGAAAATGAAGTTGCAGCCTTCTTAGGAGTGAATCAGAATAAAATTAAAATAAAAAATACTTTGTTTTTTGACACTCTATAGTAAATATCTAATTATAATATACAATCTAATTGATGAAATATCAAGAAATAAACCAGAAATATCATCAGCTGAAAATATGAAAGAAAAAATAACCATATATAACCAAATAATGAAAAAAATTGTGCAGAAACATTTGAAAAAAAAAAAAGAGTAAAAATAGTCAAAACAGTTCCCTGGTTTGACGGAGAATATATGCAACTTAGGCAAAAATAGAGAAAAGCAGAAAAATTGTTTAAGAGAACAAAAAATGAAAGTGAAAAAAAAACTATAGACGCTTCAAGATAAAAACAACAATGGTAGTTTAACCTTATTTTGTAACGTTTTTTTTTCATCACCTGATGAGGCTGACCAAAATAGCTCAGCAAAATATACACACACTTAATAAAGTGTATTTTTATAAGCATTTGCTCAATTTTTTTGCTTACCTTAATCCATACGACTTTTTTAGAAAAAGAAGAAAAAAAAACAAAGAATGATGAATGAAACGATTGCTACCACATCCCAAACCCTCAGTTGATGTAGCAGCACTCCACTGCGAGTCAGGCTATTTGTCAGTCGATGTATGTACTGAAGCCCCCAGCAGCAGACTATTTCAGTATGACATCAGATTGCTTACCTTAGTACGCAATACTATTTGTATATATATATATATATATATATATATATATATATATATATATATATATATATATATATATATATATATATTTATATATATATATATATATATATATATATATATATATATATATATATATATATATATATATATATATATTTATATATATATATATATATATATATATATATATATATATATATATATATATATATATATATATATATATATATATATATATATATATATATATATATATATACAGGCCTTGTGATGAAGCAGGAGCGATGTTTTTAGAAGTTTTAAAAAGTTTTTTTAAAAAATTCTCTCTTTTTTATTTGTTATAGTATATAATATCTTTATATATGTTATGCATATAATATGTATAAGTCTTTAAAAATGTTTTACTTTGTATTCTTGAAGTTACAAAAAATTAAAAAAAGTTAAGCGTGTAAGCGAAAGGATTAAAACCCATGCGAAGCAATTTAACCACTTTCGCATGCTATATCACCTTTTGCCACTGTTTCACAAACAAAAAACATATCAAATATTATAAAATGGCATAGTAATGCAAAATTAAGGAGATATTGTCGCAATCAAAATTTTTAATAGTAAATCTGTAAAATTTGATATTTTTAATGATTTACATAACTTAAAGCTTAGATGTTAGATATTTGTATAGTTCACATAGATAAAATACGAATGCTTAATAGAGCTTTGTAAAATAAAAGATATTTTGATTTACACATTAATTAACAAATTATCAATTTTCAATAGTTTTCAATTGTGTCTAATAAACAAACACGTCATTTGATTAATCTAAAAAACGTTGTTTATTAAACAAATTTAAAAAAAGGAAAAAATATACCATGTGGGCCCTCTGTTTGATCTGCAATATGCTGAAAAAGCATTGAAAGATATATCTAAAATGAAAAAAATATATAATTATGATTTTCCATCAAAGTCCTCCAAATCACCTGATCCATACCCAGTAATATTTCTAAGATCAATCACAAATGCCATTGCTATTCCTTTTTCCATACTTTTTTAATTATCATTGTAAAAAAATGCCATACCTTTAATCTAGAAAACCGCTATAGTGTGCCCTGTTTATAAGAAAGAAAACCCATCATTAACCACAAACTCTAAACCTATTTCTATGACGTGCATTGTTTGTAAGGTTATGTCAATAATTGCAAAATGTATTACAAACTATCTACTAATTAATAACCTTATTACTGCTCATCAATTTGGCTTTTTAAAGTGTAGGTCCACCTGTACACAGATATTGACAACCTTAAATAAGTGGACCACTGCTTATAATAACAAAAAATAGTTAATACTGTATATGTAGACTTTGAGAAAGCCTTTGATTCTGTGATTCACTCTAAGTTACTGTTCAAACTGCATTTTTATGGTATCCAGTATAAATTGCTAAACTGGATTACCAATTTTTTAACAAATCGTTCTAAATGTGTTTGCATTGGTAACTCGTATTCAAAAAAAGTTCTTGTAAAGAGTGGAATACCCCAAAGGACTAGTTTGGAACCCATCTTATTTTTAGTTTTTATAAATGATGTAACTTTATGTATTGATGGTGATTGCAGCATTAAGTTGTTTACTGATGACGGCAAGTTACATCAAGCAAGCAATGATGGAAACAACATACAACTCGTCAATACCTTTAAACAATTTTTAGAATGGTCAAAAGTTTGGCAACTTAATATAGCAACCAAAAAATGTTTTCATCTACGCTATGGAAACAGTTATTTACCATTAAGTTCATACTCAATAAACGTCTTGTACCTCTGTGTGGAATCCCTATCTTTTAAAAGATATATGTCGGTTAGAAAAGGTTCAGAAATCTTTTACTAGAAGTGTATGTAAAAGATGTAATATTCTTTATAAAGATTATTCTTCAAGAATCAATATCTTCAATCTAGAAACCCTTGAATGCAGAAGAATAAAATTTGATCTTGTAATGACCTATAAAGTTATACACAACCTTGTTGATCTACCTTTTTCAAAGTTTTTTACATTTGCTCCTTACTATCCTACAAGATGTCATGGAAAAAAACTTTATTCATGTATTAAATGTAAAAATGATACATGACGATTTTTCTTCTGTGAAAGAATTATCAAGATATGGAATTCTCTACCTGATTATATTGTTTATTAGTCCACTTTGTCTTTGTTCAAATCAAGTTTAAAAAAATACAATGTTCATCACTATTGCACACTATTTTAACTAGTTTATTACCTGTATCACCTTTTTGTATTTCTTACCTTTAAATGCAAATAAATCAGAAATAAATAAAAGTAAAAACATTACATATCAACACTATAAAACCAGTTTACTGTTTTTGTTGTTTTTTCTAGAGCATTGTTAAAAATAGTCAAAATCTGAAAAAAAAAACAAAACATTTATTGCGAAGACAATTACGCAAAATAAAAAAAACATAAAAGCTATCAGTGCAAACAAATTTTGAAATTTAACAAAAAAAAAACAACATTTTTCTTACCTTGATTGCAACAAACTAATTTCTTTTTAAACTATTAGCTAATGATCAACATAGTAAAAAACCATATTTTAACAGTAGACAAAGTAAGCTTATGATAGTTGGTAGAGTACTAAAGTAGAAGTAAAAAAAAAAAAATTTAAAATGTTTTTAATACATACTATTTCCATTTAAATATGAAAAATAACTCTAAAAAAAAATAACTCTACCATCATGAGATAATAGTGGTAAATTTATAAAAACAAAAACTAACAAAAAAAAAATAAAAAAAAGAATATAGTAAAATATTTATCATTGTTAAACATACAATCTTTTTAATTAAAAATATTGCTTTCATGAACAGATAAGGCATTTTGCTAGAGACAAATTGTAATATTTTTTGACTTTGCTAAAGCCTTTGGCATTTTGCTAGAGACAAATTGTAATATTTTTTGACTTTGCTAAAGCCTTTGACGCAATTGATCACGAGCTGCTTCAAATAAACAATATACCGCCCTAAATGGCTCATTTCCTGGATTGAATTGTACTTACAAACCAGATATCAGCAAATTTATACTAACGTCATAGCAACAAAATGGAGACCTGTGGAAGCTGGAGTCATCCAAGGCAGTGCACTCAGACCTGTTCTTTTTATACTCTTCATACTTGATATAAACAATATATTTAACTGCAATACTGAACATTTCAAATTTGCTGATGACATCCTCGCATAAATTGTTGGAGACCTAGCCCACTCAACCCTACCACAGGAAATATGCGACAAAGTTAATAGGTGCTGGTGCATTAAAAACCAAATGTTATTAAACGCAACAAAATGCAAAATCATGAGCATACCTAGTAACAAACTTGACACACGCCCACCACCAATAGTTTCCATCAACTCCAAAGCTCTCAAATATGTAACCTCATATAAATTCCATATCATTAGATTTAAATATTGTAATAAACACCGACCAACAATGGCATTGCATCAAGCCCAAATTTTCCTCAGCTTAGTACCTAATTAGAAGTCTAAAAAACTAGGCTTTCATAGCAAATTGCTAGTAACAATATACCGAAGCATTGGAATTAGCCACTTGATCCATAGTGCAGCATTACTGTGTGCAAGCAGTATCAAAATAAAGCACATAATACAGTGAATACATCTAAAAACTCTAAAATCTATAGGTATTAGTCCAGAAATTGTCAGAACAAAAATATAACATTGAAAACACTGATACATACATTGGCGATATATTTATAAAAATCCAAGTCATCTGCTAAACATAAAAACAAAAAATAAATCTTAAGTAACAAGACACAATATCAACTTCAGGTTCGAGATAGCTAGTGCAAATACATCTTACAAAAATAGTTTTACCCAATAAATATTACGTCTTAAAAGAGATGGAAAACATAACTTGTACACTAGTTAATCAAAGCAACTACAAATTTAACTACCAAAATATGTGTGCATATATGTGTATGAATGTGTGTATGTATGAATGTAAAAAATTTTGTAATTTCTAAATTTTTAGACCATTGAGTTTAAATAAAAGATATATATATATATATATATATATATATATATATATATATATATATACATATATATATATATATATATATATATATATATATATATATATATATATATATATATATATATATATATATATATATATATAAATAAATCATAAACACCATCACAGTAACAAATCATTTTAATATTTTGCATATATTACTGACTAAAATTTTTACGGTGTTAACATCTCAATAGCGTACAAACGCTTCATAAGATAAACATAAAAATAAAAAATGTAACAATCGAAATAGCTGAACGATATTTTAGTTTCATACTTAATTATAAAACCTACAAATCATTTATTTACCACCTACAGATAAGAGTGGTGCTACAGCTATTGTTGGTGGGATAGAATCAAATATTGGAATGAATGTTAAAGTGTGTTTTTTAATAAATTATTAAAATTGTTAAAATTTTAATGAAACACAAATTTTAACCAATAAGGTTTTTATTTAAAATTTCAACCAATAGAATTTCTATTGCTTAAAAATAAAGTATTAAAAAGTTTTTTCATAAACTTTTTTGTTTAAAAAAAAGTTATGAAATTTAGTTACTATAATATTGTTGGAAATCATACATTTTGCATTAGCTACAATTAGACTTTACATCCTCAAGTGTTTCAGAGTCTGTATTACCTTTATAATACTTATAACTTTCTTCTTTCAGTGTCAGTATTTACCTTTATAATACTTCTACCAATTTTTCTCTTGTAGGAACTATTTTACTAAACTGTATTTATTGTATTTATCTCAGTATTATAATCATTGTCAAACTTTGTTTCAAGTGATCTTGTTAAAATTCAATCAGGCATTGGTGATAAAGTTGGAATGATTTTGCAAGCAACTGCTATGTTTTTTGGTGGTTTTGGTGTTGGATTTTTTTATAGTTGGAAGTTAACTCTTGTTATTATGGCTGCTTCACCAGTTCTAATGATTTGTGGTGCTATAACTGGGAAAGCTATGGGAAGTCTTACTGTAAGAGAGCAATCAGCGTATGCTGATGCAGGTTCAATTGCAGAGGAGGTGATAAGTTCTATAAGAACTGTTGTTGCTTTTGGTGGTGAACAGGAAGAAATAAAAAGGTTTAGTCACTTTTTTCCATATAAAATTATTAAAAAGTTTTAATTTTTTTTTACAAAAAATTTTTATTTTAAAATTTATGTATTTAATAAATTTATAAGTTTTAAAGAGGTATAAATATTTTAAATAGGTACAATGAAAAACTAAGTGGAGCTCAAAAAGCTGGTATTAAAAAGTCAGCTTTGGTTGGAGCATCTATTGGATTGTTTCATATTTGTATTTTTGGGTGCTATGGATTGGCATTTTGGTATTTATTACATATTTGAAGTTTTTAAAATTTCTTTTGTAACAATAATTATTAGGATTCGTCAATAACAAAAGTTAATGCCTTTATGTTTATTTAACTAAATTTATTGTTCATTTAAATAGATTTATAGTTGCACAAATCAAATGAATATATTTTTTTAATTTAAGTAAGCTTATAATTTTAGTATACTTGTAGTTAGTAACTGCCTAATTTTAAATTTAAGTTTAACATACAAATAAGGGCTTTTATGATTTTTTAAGTTAAAAAGTTTTGAGTTTGGCAAAGAGAGAGTGAGTTTATTACCGTTATTGCCACTTAATTTAGGCTATACAAAAAACAAAAGTCAAAAATTTGTCTGGACTTTTATGTCAGAGTTCTGCGTATCGGTAATGCATATTGAAAGTTTTCATAAGATGTTGTGATTTTTATAATATTTACAGAAATAAAAAAAAGTTGCATCAGAGAGGGTTCTATATTTTACTAGTTTTGTTACGTCTCAATAGGTTACAATTAGTATTAAGGTTTCTTTCTCTTATTTTTAATGAAATATTAATTAAATAAACTTCATAGCGTAGTAAATATTTGTTTATCATTGTCATATTGCTAGTTACCTTCTTTATTTTTTATTGTAAAATAACTTCGTGTCAATTGGTTACTTTGTCACGAAAAATAAGTAAAGTTTCAATCCACAACATTACGTCTCAATTGGCTTTTTTTTTAAATTTTAAAAGTGTAACCAATTGAGACGTAACATAACGTAAATAAAGACGCAATTAAAATATGTCTCAAATACAGATTTTTTTACGTTACATTGCGTCTCAATAGGTTACACTTTTAAAAGTTTCAAAGACAACGTAATGTAACTTAAAAAAATCTATATTAGTGACGTATTTAATTATGCTTCAAATTTTAGACATCAATTTGCAACGTTACGTCTCAATTGGCTTTTTTTTTAACTTTTAAAAGTGTAAACAATTGAGACGTAATGTAATGTAAAAAAAGACGCAATTAAAATGTCTCAAATACAGATTTTTTTTAATGTTCTGTTATGTCTCAATAAGTTACACTTTTAAAAAATTTAAAAAAATGTAATGTAACGTAAAATAAAACTTGATAAAACAGCTGTTAGAATATGCGCATTAGACCGCAAGCCAAGCTAGAATTAAATAGTTTTAAAACTATTCAGCTTAGTTTTATAACAACTGTTTTATCATAATTTCACATTACCTTTACATCTTAATTGGTTACACTTTTACAAGTTTCAAAAATACTTAATGTAACATAATAAAATATATATTTGTGACATATTTAGTTAGGGTTCAAATTCGAGACACATCGAAGCACATAGACGCTATCGGTGAATTATTACAGTTAGTGTGGTGTGGAAACACCAATTTGTGGTGTGGAAAATACCAATTTATTGATACTGCAGTTGATCAGGTACAATATAGGATAATGATCCCAAGCAAACTGCCACTAAAACTTAGAAATGAATTTTTAAAAATAATGTTGAGGTCTTGAAATGCCCTGTACAATCACCAGCCCTTAATCCCATTAAACATTGGTGTTAAAATTGAAGATCAGTCATTTTCCAAAAAAAGAAACCTCGAAGTGGCAATTTAAGAAGCCTGGGAAAAGATTTAATCAGAAGAAACGTAACTTTTAGTCAAGTCAATACCTAGATGTCAAGTCAATGTGGTTCTTATTTTACACTAAAATAAATTAAGTCTATTTAAAAACTTGTTCTTTTATTATTATTATAATTTTTTTTTTTTTTTATTTGCATTCCCTCCCAACAAGGCTGCAAGCAATCACTATTAAGTTGGGAGTTACTAGGAAAAAAAAGAACAGAGTTATAGAGCAAGGAAACGGTTGACAGAAGACTTGAAAAGTTGAAGGTTGTATGAGTCAGAAAAACATGAAGATGGGAGAGAGTTCCAAAGGATTGAAGTGCGGGGAAAAAAACTTGATGAATAAAAGTTTTTAGAGCATGCAGGGACAGATCCAGTAAACGAATGAGACTTAGCTGAATGACGAGTAAAACGAGAATGAGTTTTAGTTGATGGAACTAGAGATGATAACTCCTTTGAGCAGTGACCATGATAGTATTTGTAGAAAAGAGAAAGAGATGCAACTTTACGACAATGGGAAAGAGGCTCAAGCTTAGCAGATAGTCCAGGTCCAACAACATTTACAATGCGTTTTTGGACCTTGTCAAGAAGAGAAAGTGAATCGTTAGAAGAACCAGCCCAAATATGACAACAGTATTCCATACAGAGACCAATAAGAGATTTGTAGAGGTAGAGAATGGAATCAGAAGTAAGGAAACGGCGAGCACAATAAAGAGAAGCAACCTTAGCAGAAGCTAATTTAGCAATTGATTGTATATATGGTTTCCATGAAAGGTCAGTAGTAAGCTATAATCCAAGAAGACGTAAAGAGGAGGACTCAGTAAGAGGATTGCCATTCATTAATTTAGGAATGTTGACCATATTACGGTAGTTGTTTGCAGTAAACAACTGGGTTTTGTTAGAGTTGAAATTCACAAGCCACTGTGAACCCCAATCTATTACTGAAGTGAGATCGGATTCAAGATCAGCTACTTGTTCTAGGCGATCGAAAAGAGAAGACTTTTTGTCAAGACAGGAGTATAAAGTTGAGCAAAATTCATCAACAAAAAGAGCTACTTTAGATGAAAGGTTGTCAGGAAGATTGTTTATGTAGATAAGAAACAAAACAGGGCCCAAGATGGAACCTTGGGGAACCCCAGAAGTTACTGGAAATAAAGAAGAGTGTTGGCCTTCAAGGATGGCTTTAATAAACCGGTTAGAAAGAAATGATTTGATAATCTCAAAAACTTTCCCAGAAACACCATATGAAGCAAGCTTATGGAGAAAACCAGCATGCCAAACTTTGTCGAAAGCTTTAGATATGTCGAGAGCAATAGCCCTAGCCTCGGGCGTAGCCCTAGCAAGTCGGTCATAGAGGGAGAGGATTGAAAACCGTATTGATTGTCTGACAGTAGTTTATTTGACTCAAGATGAGATGCGAGGAATTTGTTGACTCAAAGACCTTGCTAATAACAGAAAGAAGACTGATCGGACAATAATTTGAGGGATCAGAATTTTCTCCAGAGTTTTTGAATATTGGAACCACAGATGCCATTTTCCAACAAGCAGGAAAACAAGACTCAGTCAAACACTTACTAAATAGTTTAGAGAGAATTGAAGAAAGTTCTAGAGAACAATTCTGCAAGACTGTGACAGGAATGTTGTCTGGTCCACAAGCTGTAGACGAGTTTAATTGAGATATGACTTTAGCAACAGAAGCCGGAGTGATTTGAATGTCTAACAATGGGTCAACCTGTTTGACTGGAATGGAAGGAAGAGAATGTCCATAAGATACGAGAGTGGAATTAGAAGAAAAGTAAAAACTAAACATAGGCTAGGGTCAGAGACAAGACATAAGTCAAGGAGTGAAGGTAAATGATTAGGGTTGTCAGGAAAACGAGTCACAAAGTTAACTATCTGAGTAAGAGATTGAGAAACGCAGAAGTTAAAGGCTTTAGTGCCAGCAGGATCCTTGGTGTTAGAGCCAAGCCATTCAAACCTAGCATGTGGCTATTGGAGTCTTTACGAATCAAAGAATAGTACCCATCAACACTGACATCTGAAGAAGGAATTGCAGAATTTAAATTTGTTTCACTGAGTGCAAGCAAGTCTGGTGAATTTTGCAGGAGGTAAGACTCAACTGACGGAAAGTTGCTTCGCAGACCGGGAATATTTGTAAAAGGTATATTAAAACATTTAGGTGGTGGGGATGGTTTTTTAGGTTTAAAGTTTTTGGTTACTTTAGTCATGATTTGGGTTTAATGAGAACTTGACTCATTCATAGATAGAGCACAGCCTCCTAATCAATGAGCTATGCAGTTGTCTCAGTCCTGTTAATTAACCCTAAGCTGTGACGTAGGGCTCCTTATATGACCTTGACAATGCACACCAAAAGCATTAACAGGGACACCATCCATGCGCAACACGACACTGTTAATACTCTGATATTTTGCAGCTGTTGATGGAATCAGCCTCTCTGAGAGCTACCACAGAGTTCGGGAAACCTTACTACCAGCCGGCCTCAGAACCATTAAACTGAGTTTTAGAGCTGTACCCTCATATGGAGATAACAGGAAGAGTTGCATAGCCATTATCAAGGAGACATAAGCATAATAATAATTTTATGAGTAGAGTCAAGGAGATCCAGCATTCATCATCCTAGGCAGGAAACAATGTAACACAGGTTACATCTACGCCAGCCTAATAGATGAAGAAGGGGTTCGAGGCTGGTTAGCAGAATTTTTCTGCTTACCCCTAAAGTCTTTGCTTAGGAGGCCTTCTACAAAACAGTAGCTGGATGCAGTTAACATCTGCCCAAGATGAGTATTTTTATTGAGACACATTTTCTAGCCTTTACTCTTTCAAGATCCCCAAGGCAGGGGATGTTTAGCTGGATGCAGTTAACATCTGCCCAAAATGAGTGTTTTTATCGAGACACCATCTCTAGCCTTTACTCAACCAAGAGCCCCAAGGCAGGGGAATTTTTAGTCAGAGTTTATTTCTCTTAGCCTTTGCCTAAGAAGAGCACACTCTGCAAGGCAGCAGGGCTTGTGGCAGGTGGTACTGGGTTATGTGATACCAGTAGCAAGATTGATCTTGATTATCCTGACCTGACCTGGAGTAGTTAAAAGGAGTTACTTCCCGCAACAGTACTTTGAGAAAACCAGGCATGGCATTTTAGAAGTGCATTAGGAAAAACACTGCATCCAGGAGTCTAAGGTGAGTGTAGGTTTTGTAGTTGGAGTAAGTAGCTAGTTACTGAGCTCACGCTGCATCAGAGAATAAACAGAACACAAACAAACATAAATTACCTTTAGTTTACAAAAAGTTTACCTTGAGTTTACAAAATTAGTCTAAAGTTACAAAAATATAGTATTTTTAATAGCAAAAATATTATTATGTATGTATATGTATACATACATATATAACGGGTTATAACTAATAAACCGTAATAACTTTGAAAGGGCATTACTCCCTTGGTTCATGAGATAAAAAATTAATTCAAAAAATAAAAATTAGTCTTATAGGTGGGCAATTTATTTGCATATTAATTTTTTTTCAATCAAACCATTGTATCTTACATAGTCTAATTAGCGCTGAGTTGACTCAGAAAAACGCTGTACATAAGATTTTTTCAATTTAAAAATGGCAATACTTAATTCTGTTGCACCATTTTTTGAGATTATAAGCTTTCCAATTATTCTCATACACTTTTCCTTTAAGAATACTCCAAAAATCCTCAATTGGACAACATTCAGGTATATTTGCAGGTATATTTGCAGATATATTTGCAGGGTTATCTTCTCTTTGACAAAAACGATCTTTTTCTCATTCATGTAGTTTTGTACAGATAAAAGTATGTATTCACCATCAGAATGATGCTTTGATGCACTTGTTGGTATTTGAGAAACATCACTTGAATAATAAATATTTCCATTAATTGAAAAGTAGTTAAATGTGAAGTACGACTCCTTTGTCAAGGATTAACAATTTATTGGCAGAAATTTGACACAGCTGACCGCACTTTGTTCTTAATGGAATCTTCTCCTTCTTCTTTGGTCTGATTAAGGACTTTGTTTTTAATGTTTTGCTGATATATACTTGGGTGCACTTAAATTTCAGAGCTGCTTGTGTTTGTGGTCAAACATTGTTTTAAGTCTTTTGATTTCCATTTTGTCATTATTTTAGCAATCCTACCACTTTCAGAGACTTTCTGGTGCCAACAATTATTTTCAGCGCGTCGAATAATGGTATAGATAGTGTTAATAGGGATTTTTTCAACAAGAAAGTGATCAACTGTAAACTTTTTCCCTTTAGATCAATTTTTTAAATAAAAGTTGTACAAAAGTTCTCGATGGGCTTCTTGTTTTTATTTTATTTTTCTCTGTAACAATAAATTATTTTAATTCAGAATAAAACAAGTTTTGTAGAGAATTGAAAATGCTACAAACTAGGTAAGATAGCAACCATAATTAATATAAAGTATGTTACATAACTTTGTCTTTAAAGACATTACCGTTTTTTAGTTATAACCCGTTATACAAATATCATCAAGTATAAGATTTTTAATTTTAATACATATTTTAAAATATTTTCATTTACATAGATATTTTAAATTTAATTTCCATTATTTTATTTACATTTTATTATATTTATTTTTTTTATTTTTATTTTAGTACATATTTTTAAGCAAATTTTTTTCTTTTTATTTTGCTACCTAATAGTAGCTACTGGTTACTACTAGGTAGCAATAACCAGTTATTCACATTTTTAAGCAGCTGTCTATTGCATGAAATTTTTAAAAAAGTAAAATGTATTGTTAGTTTACTCATAGTTTTATTATAAATATTGTTTTAAAACAAGTTTCTATATTATTTTTTAAATAAAATTTTTTAGGTATGGAGCAAAATTAGTTTCAAGTGGTGAAATTAGTCCTGGTGATTTGATGACCGTTTTTTTCTGTGTAATGGTTGGTGCGACAAGTATAGGACAAGGAGCTCCAAACTTTGAAGCTATTGCAAGTGCAAAAGGAGCAGCTTATGTTGTATTCCAAATATGTGTCAGGGTAGGTAGATTTATTGTTTAGTTTACTTTAATATTAAAGTAACTATCAAAAAAATCTTACACTTAGCATAATCTTTTCTTTATTTATCGCAATTTATTCATTGCATTTGTTAATGAAGTAATTTTAATAAAGATTATAAACAATTTGTAGCTGGATTTTATCAGTTACCAATAAAATTTTTGTAAACTTAACTTATGCTCATAAATGTATTATGTCCAAAGAACATTACATGATATTAAATTAATAAGAAACAAAAAAATTTATATTCTTCTGTGAATACTCTTAAACAAAACCTCTTCTCCCTTTTTATAAGGAAGAAAAAAGTTTTTGATTTTCTTTCGCTTATTATGATCTATGATAATCTATGATGGATTATGTTTTTTTATCTATGAGACATGTTTTAGATAATGAATTAGTTAGCACATGATAAGAAAAAGATTTCTTTAATAAAAATTGCAAAACTATTTTACATTCCATTTAAATTAAATTTTACATTCAATATTTTACTATTTTACATTCCTTCAAAGCTTAATTTAAATTTTAAAAATCATATTTAAATATAGTCTTTTAATTATTAGACCAGCCCTTTTGGAACGTCATCCGCTGTAGAATTGGTGAAATTTGCTGCATTGACGTCATTCAATCAAACTTGAAAAACAATACGTATTTGCCTCACCACAAGCCGCTATTGCAGCTGCTAAACAACCATCACCGCAGCCAACAACTTTACTGATACTATATCAACCAGCGCATCAACTATGACCACCAAACCCAGGACCAAATCAAATCCACCAAATCCAAACCAAACCCAAGACCAAACCAAATCCACCAAATCCACGACCACAAAATCCAGATATAAGTCAGATTAGCTACACACCAAGACCTTTACAAAAAAGTACATTAGAAACACAACATTTTCAACTCACTTACGCTTCTGATCCAACAACCCATGCTCTCTAAACAGCGCAAAAATGGGTGAGCTAACGCCAGACTAGCAGCTAAGCCAGTAGAAAACCGACCACACATGTTTTTTGTTGATCCTCTCGGACACACGCTAATGAGATAGTCGCATTGTCTTATTAAGAGTACAATCGCCATGACTGGTCTCTACACTCATGCGTTATCAAAAAACTGGCGTCTAATCTGGAATAAGGCAGATTACAAGTTAGAACGCTAGACAGATCTACTACAACTGAAAACACCGTCATATGCAAAATATTGAACAATTTTTTTCAGTTGGTTTTCGATGTTGAACTTGAAGGTCCTATGCCACAGTTTGACAAGCAAACAGAATTTAAATGTACTCTACTTAAAAGTGACATAACAGTCAAAAAGGTTGAAACACGGCTTAAAGATCTGGTTGAAACTAAATCAATGGGTTGCGACGGTGTTCATCCACGCATCTTGAAAAGTTGTGCAACTGCTTTTGCCACTCGAATAGCGCTTATTTTCAATAAATCGATTGCAATGGGAGAAGTCCCGGATCTATGGAGAAAATCAAATATGCCAGTTTTTAAAAAAGGAAGCCAAATTGATACTTCAAACTACAGACTGGTATTTCTAACCTCAATTGTCTGCAAAACCCAAGAAGGAATTATTTACGATCGAGTTATGTCTTATTGTGTTGTCAATAAATTACTTTCAAAAGCTCAGCAATATGTATGCAAACGAGGTAGCACAACCAAACTCCTGAAGGCACGTGACATCCCGACATAGCCCATTTACCTGGGTTACGCTGCTGACATCATTTATACAGACTTCACCAAGCATTCGATAAAGTTGCTCATTGACGCTTGCTACACAAACTGAGGGCACTCGGTATATATGTTGCTTTGTTGAATTGAATCAAAGCGTGGCTTTCATTTCGCAAACAACATGCAGTCATGAAAAGACATATATTAAATTGGGTATCTGTATCAAGTGGAGTTCCACAAGGTTGGATTCTAGGACCATTATTATTTGTCCTTTTTATCAACGATCTTCCAAACAACATTGCGCATCACATCAAATTATATGCAGATGATAGCAAAATCTAAAAATGACTGTTCAATTTTACAAGATGACATAGACAAAGCCGTGGTGTGGTCCAGAATTTGGTGCATGCCTTTCAACGTGGCAAAATGCAAAGTAATGCACATAGGCCGTTGAACCAAAAGGTCAACACAACCATATTCAATGTGCAGCGATGACAGATCACGAATTGAACTTGCAATTACCAAGAACGAAAGAGACCTTGGCATCATAATCTCAGATGACTTTAAACTAAAAAATCAAGTTGAGACAGCAGCCTCAACTGCCAATCAAGTATTTGGTAGGCTGAAAAAAACATTCTGCAGTCGAGGTATCATTGTTTAGAGAACATTGTATATAGCTTATATTTTCCCACATCTCAAGTTTACGATACAAGCCTGGTTTTCGTTTCTAAAATGCAACATTGAAGCACTAGAAAAAGTGCAGTAGCATGTGACAAAAACGGTTGCAATATTAAAGCATTTACCATACGCCCAAAGATTGCAAATATTAGGTTTAACGACTCTTGAAGACGGCAGAAAATGGGCTGACCTAATTCAGCAATTCAAAATCACTCAAAACATTGATGAGATCTTTTTTATGTGCCACAGACACAACACTTAGCTAGACTGAATTACAATCTCAAAGTCACAGTAAGTGCCTTGATAAACAAAGAGTAAATCATTGTATTGAAAGGGAATATTTTTTTACAAATCGAATTGTATGTTACTGGAACGCTCTCTCACAAAAGACTATTGATGCGCAAAGTGTCAACTGCTTTTAAATTTTTTTTATCTAAATATAGCTGCTTTGTATGCAGCACAAGACTGTCAGAACAGAGGAGCCTGATGCTGCCCCTCTTCATTGATCATTTTATTTTTATTTTTGGCTTTAATTTTTTGTTATAATTTTATGATCGATTACTGAATAAACTAAATTAATTAAAAAAAATTTTAATAAAATAATTTGTTTCTTTAAAAAATTTACAGTTGCAGTAAAAAATTGTAAGTTTTAAAAAAGTTCTAAAAAAAAAAAAGCTTTTTTTATGACCTAATATTTTCTAAACAAACGTCACATAAAAAATATTAAAAGATAATTTAAATATTCAAAAGTAAAAGTTAATGTGCTCTCAAACTACTGTATTTTTACTTTTATTTACCTACTACTTTTATGTACCTTTTTTTTTTTTTTAATCGATTGTCCTCATTTCTTATGATTTATTAAATTATTGCTAATCATCACATAAGAAATGTGGAAAACAAACTTAGCACTGTGACTTTTAAATTATAGTTTTATTATTATTTTGGATTTTCTTTTTATAAAAAAAAAAAAAAAAAAAAAAAACTAGAAGCACCTATAAAAATCATTAGTCGTCCTTATGGGTAGCTTTATTGCAATAAAGTAATGTTTTCAGTGTCTGAAACTGGTCAAGATAAACATTATCAATATTTAGTGGAAAAATATCTTTACCATATAACCAAAAATTATTTTTGAATTTGTAAGTTTTAAGATTTATATGAATTTAATTTCAATGATCTCCTTGCAACCATTCCTTTTTACAGTTATTAACTTTCTTCTTCCATCTTTTTTGGTAGGTTTTGAAATTGGTGTATCACATATTTGCAGAATGTATGTGAACAATATGCATGTCTAGATTTTTGCATCAAAATAAATGAACTATAATGTTACTTAAATCGTTAAGAAAATTTAAAAAGAATTTGGATGTCTTTTAATTCGTCATTGATTCTGTGAATATAATCTTTAAAAAAGATTGCAAGTGACTAACAGAATGGAGTTGAAAAGAATATTTTTTTTTTTAATTGATCATCCTTCCATTAACTAAAATACCTACAAAAAAAAAACTTTGACTTAAAAAGAAAAAAACTAAATAAGCATAATATATTATCTACATTTCTTTTGCATTCTTTACTCCTTTGAATAAGTATTTTTAAATTTTATTTGTAATTAAAAGTAACAAGATTCTTGTAAATGGAATACCAGCTATAACATTTGGTACAGGGTTCAAAATTCTAGAATACATGCTCAACGGTTCACATCACAAAACTTTAACAAAACTTTAGCAAATTTAAATTACTTATTGATTCAATAAGTGATTTTAATAAGTATGTTGATAATAATATACTTCTCAGCATTTGAGAAGTTTTCAAAATTTTAGTATACCTGACAGCCTCTATTGCGAATCTGTCAAGCTTTATTAAATTGTACTGAAAACTTTTTATTGGCTTATATTCTTCCTCAGAATCAATTACCTGTCTAAATCTTTAGTACTAAAAGTTTATAAAAAAACCAGTTCAAAAAAATCAGAGCTGAATCACTTGAAGAAATGTTGGAAGACCAGCTGAAGGTATTCCTGATGGCAGATCTCGGTATTTGAAATTGTATTCCAAGCAAGTTGTTATGGTTTGCCTTTTTTCCATTTTCTCCACAAATATTTTCCCAATTTTAAGATTGTTTAATAAAAATTAGATAAAATCATCAAAATAATGTGCAACACATATACCAAGTTTGAAACAAAATAATGTGTGTAAGCATATGCCAAGTTTGAAACAAAATAATGTGTGCAATGCATATGCTTAGTTTGAAAAATATTCTCAAAATGGCATTTTTTTTCTTTAAAAAACATGTTTTAAAATGATTAAATCTTTTTAAATCAACTCTTGGGTTACTAGATTTCTAATTTCCACTCTAATGCACTGAAAAACTTTCATTTTTATAAATCTTTTTTTTTTTTTTATAAATCTAAGCAGACTTTAGGTAATTCAGTAAACTAAAATCATAATATAATAATTATAAAATCATAAATTTATACAAATAAATATTTAATTAAGCTCATAATCATATTAGTTTGAAAAAGACTCATAATCATATTAACGTGAAGTTTATTGATTAAAGTTTATGTTTATTTTTTACATTGTATTTATCTCCTTAATTTAAAAATAATTAAATACATAAAATATTATTTATTGTTTTTTTTAGGAGCCAGCTATTAATTGTTTATCAGATGAAGGTAAAATAATGGAAACAACCAGTGGAGAAATCTTATTGTCAAATGTTCAATTTAGTTATCCGTCTAGACCAGAGATACCAGTAATTAAAAGAATTTGATTTTTTTATATTTATATTTTTTTATAATTATAATTAATAAGCAATATATATATTTTTTTGAAATGCTTTGTTTTAAATTAGATTTTTGATGGTTTGGACTTAGTCATTAAACCAGGATCAACTGTTGCCCTTGTTGGAGAATCTGGGTCTGGCAAAAGCACCATTGTTAAACTTATTCAACGATTTTATGATGTTGTTGATGGTTCTGTAAGTTTTTTATTTTATTTTTATTAAAGTAATTTATAATTCTTTTTTATTTATTCTAATTATTAGTAATACTTTTTTAAAGTCATTGTTATAACTGTGTATGTTAATTACAGTAAAAAGTAAAAAGTTTTATAGGTAAATAATAACTTCCTAAAGGATGGAAAAATGTTTTTTTTATTTAGGTCCTTATAAAATTCCTTATTAAAATCACCTATAAAATTCCTTATAAAATTGTCTAGCTTTTTAAAAGTGCTTATGGTTACCATTTCAGATTTGCTTCAAATTTTGATTATCCATAGATTTAAAGTAAAAAATGCGTCCCTAAAAATTTCGGCTTGATTGTTCAATTTGCTCAAAAGTTATGATCAATATCAACTAAACTTGAGTGTATGGAGGTTGCAGTAATTTTTTTTGATTTTCCATGGTCCATAACTTTTTTGATAAAAATACTGATCACCTGAAATTTTTAAAATAATAGTTCTTCACTTCATTCTTCTTCTTTACTTTATTCTTCTTCTTCACTTTATTCTTCTTCACAATAGTTCTTTATTTCATTCTTCTTCACAGTAGTTCTTCATTTTATTCTTCTTCTTAATAGTTCTTTATTTCATCCTTCTTCTTCACAATAGATCTTCACTTCATCCTTTTTCTTCATTATAGTTTCTCCTTAACAATATTTCTTCACTTTATTCTTCTTTTTCACAATAGTTCTTCACTTCATTCTTCTTCATCACAATAGTTCTTCATTTATTTTTATTCAATTCTCAGTTTAATCATAATCACAGTTCTAGTGATTTCAAACAATTTCTGAGTTATTTTTCCTCAAAGTTCATAAATAGGGGAGAGTGTATGTGAGAGCCAGGTTTTGAATAAGCTGATTCCATTATATCTAACTTACTGGCACCCAACCATAATTGTATTTAATTTTTGTGTGGCAACGCTGCATACCTATCACCCTCAAAAAATTTAGAGTTCTACTAAAATAAATAGTGTTGCAGCGGTGCACTAAAAATTTTGAAAAAAAAAAGTAATTTTTTTGGGGTTTATTTATTTTTAAGAGTATTGTATTATTTGATAAAACATATATTGTTATATATATGTGTGTCCTTCTTTTCCACAAATAGTATTAGATTAAAGTTTCGGTAAAAAAATGTTTAATTTCAGGATATTTTTTTTACCATACAATTTTTTAAAAGAGCCACTTTTTTATGCTATGAAAAAGCCGACCTTTTCTATTTAGCTTTTTTAAAATTAAATAATTGTTTTGCACTTTAATGCAGGTCATTATCCACAGATTATTATGTTACAAAATTCAATAACATATTAATGTCTTATATATTTATTTTTACATATTACATAACATATTAATGTCTTATATATTTATTTTTACATATTACATATAGAAGTGAACAAGTTGTACATATTGCAAAGTGAATAAACAAAAAGATATTCAAAATAGTTTGATAAAAATTAACTAAAACATTAGTATGATTTTTGTGAGTGAATTGGTTCACAGATTTGTTTTGAATCAGGTTAAAAATTTCAGGTCTTTACTTTTAGCTTTCTTTTAGAGACTGGTTGAGCTTATTTTTTAGAGAATTTCAAGGCTAACATCGTTATGATCTCAATTTACTTCTAATGATATTCATGTTCCTAAATATATGCTCACACTAATGTGTAGATCTAAAGAGTCATAAAAAGAAGCCACTCTAAGCTTAAGTTGGTTGTAACTCCCTAGAAGTCTATTATATAGAAACTTGTTCTGTCCAAATATTGTTTATATGGAACCATTAAAAAACCAAGCATCTTTTGATTTAAAATCTATTAACTAAAGTTCAACTTGAGCTCTATTGACCATTTTGTTGGAAGTTACAGTAAGTAGATCTGTTTAAAGTGAAAATATAATTTTTTACTTTCTGAACATTATAAAATGCTTAGCAAAGTAATCATTTTACATTTTTTTTATCACTTTCATTTTTTTAATAGCAGTTAAATTATATTTATTGTTAATGACAATTCCTGTTTCTTGATGCTTTTTAAATTGAAGAAAAATCTCCAATTTCTTGATTGAATATGTTAAAATGATTTAAATTTTCATTAATATATTGATATATTAATATTCATTAATATCTTTAACAAACTATGATAATTGACTTTCAATATAAACTATAATTCCTAAAATTAAATGTACGATACGATATCCTTGCAGCATCTTAATGAGGTTACTAAGCTGTTATCAGTAGCAAAATTTTTGTAACCAAATATTATTGTTTAATGTTTTGGTACCTAGATTAAAAGCTTCAATACATTGAATTCTAAGAACTGCCCCCTGGATAGTCAACAAAACCTTTATTTTTACGAGTCTTTCTTCACTATCTGTGCAAAAAACTTTATTTTTACCAGTCCTTTTGCACCACCTGTGCAAAACCTTTATTTTTAAATCAAATCTTAGTTGTTTTATTCTATTTGACCCATAGGTCCAATAGGTGGCCTGGTATGGAAAGATCTAGTTGATTTTTTCTACTAATATTTTTGTTTAGATTAAACTTGATGGTGTAAACATAAAAGAATTTAATTTAAAAAGTCTCCGATCAAACATAGGTGTAGTGAGCCAAGAACCTGTTTTATTTGACATGTCTATTGCTGAAAACATACGTTTAGGTGCAATAAATGATGCTTCAGATTTAGATGTTGTAAATGCTGCAAAATGTGCTAATGCTCATGAATTTATTTCCTCTTTACCTCAGGTAAAAGTGTTACTTTTTGGTCAGGTAAAAAGTTTTCTTAGTTTTCAAAAAATTGCTTTTGTGTTAAAGATTGTTAAAAATCAACTTTCTTAAGGTGTTTATTATAACTTTTTGCTGTAAGACTAATAGTTTTTTTTTATCCTTTGTATTTATTCAATGTTGGAAATAGGGTTATCATACAAGAGTTGGTGAAATGGGAGCTCAGTTATCCGGAGGTCAAAAACAAAGGATTGCTATTGCTCGAGCATTAATTAGAAATCCAAAAGTATTGTTGTTTGACGAAGCAACATCAGCTTTAGATTCAGAGAGTGAAAAAATTGTGCAGGAAGCTTTAGACAAGGTATTTTTTTACTATTAAGAAAAGCTAAACTCTCAGTAATGTTTTTATATCGAGTTTTTAACAGAAAAGTAAACAATCTGATATAGAAATAAAGCCGTAATATTTACAAAAATTAGATTAATTTGATTAATGAAAGTATATTAATTTGGCTTTAAGAATCTATAAGGGTTTTAATAAAAAATGATAAAATAGTTAAAATAAAATAGAGAAAAGGAACTAAAAAATTAATAAACCTCTCCCCCTCATTTATTTGGCAGGTTAAAGTAAGTACCAACAATGTTTGAATTATGTAAATGTTAAGTTGTATAAATCAGTTAATTTAAAAAGTTTTGAAAAATATTGTAAAATTCACTAAAATTACGCTTGAAGTCAAAATTACGCTTGAAGTCAAAGACCAAATGATTTGATTGTTTCTGCTCTAATTATTTGTTTAAAAACTCCATAAGCTAGTATAAAATATTTAAATAATAAACTAGTATAAAATATTCAAATTCATTTTTATTTGTATGAGTTACTAAAGTAGTTTATGTAAAGTAGTAAATTTAAATTTCATTTACACCCACTCTCACACACACATAATACTCATACACACGCAATAATCGATATAATTGTACATTAATTTTTATAGTTTTAGAAATATAATTATACAAATTAAAACTTTCTACATAAGGTATAAAAATAAAAATCCGTAATAAAATCCTAAATCATTAGTATCTATAGTTACCATTTGACTGTGTAATATTAAAAGACTTTAACAGTAAAACGTTGCATTACTTACAATTGTATGTTTTTTTAGTATTTTTTTATATAGGTTTTATTACTTTTTTATAGGTAAGACAAGGAAGGACAACAATAGTTGTAGCCCATCGTCTCTCAACAATAAAAAATGTTGATGTCATTATTGTTGTTAAAGATGGTAAAGTTGCAGAATCAGGAACACATAAAGAGTTGTTGTCTAATAAAGGTCTTTATTACCAATTAGTTTTACTTCAGAGAGCTTTAGAAGCAGATGATTTAAACACTTTAGATGATACATGTGAAGAAAAAAATGAAGATGGTTTCATAGAATATTTGCCAGTAGACTCAAACATACAGGAATTAGAGAAAAAGGAAGTAATCAAAGTTCAAAAGCAAGTATCACGTTCACTTTCAGTTGTGGAAAAATCAACAGAGTTTGGTAAACAAAAAGAAAAAACTGGTCAAGAAAAAACTGAGCCAGCACCTTTTAGTCGTGTTATTAAACTAAATGCTAGCGAATGGCCATATCTTCTTTTTGGAACTATTTTTGCATTAATAGTTGGTGCATTTCCTGTCTTGTTTGCATTGATAATAAGCGAGCTAATTAATGTAGGTTCATATAAAATTTTTTTCCCAATATGTTAAGTGTTTAGAGAACATTAATTCAAATTAAATTTTGTTAATCAAAAAATTTGTCTAAAATTTTAAACAGTTCTATAAAAAACAAATAAAGTACAATCATAATACAAATGCATTTTTTATGTGATAACTTGTGATAAATGTGCATGCAGCTTACATTTAAATTAATTATCCTTTTTATTATTAATGTCATACTATACTGTACTATATATGTCATGTTATACTGTTGTGTAATTTTGCGCATAGTTTATATTGACATGTACACTTGTGTATTGTTTATGTTGACGTGCATTTTTTTTTTATGGTCTTGTTGTTAATTATTTTTTTATTATAGCTTTTTATGTTTCTTGCTATTATTCAAGCTATTTCTTATTTTTTGTCTCATAATATTTAAAAATATCCTTTTTTTTTTTAATTTTCTTCATTATTTTTGTCATCCTTCTGATCGTCAAATGTTGTGTTATCTCATTTATTCATTATCTATCATGTCAATTTATTCACTTCAGCCCTTTTTTGTGTTATTTGTCTTACTTTTTTAAATATTTTTTTTCTTCTTTTTATTTTTTTTAATTTTATTTTGGTTGCTATCTATATTACTTTTTTTTGCTTTATTTGTTTATTTTATTAAGGTGTCACTCAAATGACTAGTTTTGAACTATATGAATGACACCGAACCTAATTTTGTGAAAGTATAAATCACTTTGTAATTATTTCATTTTTATGGTTAAATAAATGGGTAAAATGTCAAAAATAATAACATAACTAGGTAAATAAAAAAATTTACAAACTTATGTTTAGCAGTAAATTTATAAACTTTGGAATTCAATTTTGGAATTCAATTGACCAAAAACTCCAAGCTTACATCCACTGGTCAAAATAAAGTTGTAACTCTTGTTTTTTATAATAGGCCAGAATTGAGTGACTGTCAATAAATGAACCCCATCCTCCAGGTTATTGGAGATATTACAGGTTCTACCCAAAGATTTTTTTTGCATTCTTTTTTTGGTTATTTTAATGGTTAGGGTTTTACCTCAATAAAGGGTTTTACCTCAATAAAAATCAAACAAAAAGAAGTCTTTTTGTAGCTGTGCGAATTCTGTCTTTTCTCAACTTTTCTGGCATTATCAATGTTTTCCTTAATTGGTATAACCATGCTTTTTCATTGCAACAATCATTGATAAGAGATGAAAAACACTTGTGTTTCTTAAAATAGATTTAAAAAAAAAAAAAAAAAACTTTATCATTTTTGAAGCTTTTTTTAAATGAGTTGAAGCATATTTGTGAAGTTATGACAGTAACCAGAAATTTGTAAAGAACCGCAAAAATCTCATAAATTTTGTAGACTGATTTAAATTATTTTTGACTAAATATTAACTAAATAAAATTACCATATTTATTTGTTTTTTATCACTAAGTCATCGTTTATGTTTGATCTAAGCAGTAGATGAGACTCAATGGTACATCTTTTCATGACCTCAAAGTAAAACAGTTTAATGTTCATTTATTATTAATTTCTATTGTCAATCAACAAAATTAAAAATATATAAATTATTATATAAATTTACTTTTATTGAAATTAAAACAATATTTTTATAAATACTTAATTGTTTTTTTTAATGTTTTTATTTTATTTTAATACATGAACAAAATAACTTTTTAACTTTTTTTTACATCATTTTTATTGGCTCAAGTTTATAACTACATTTTTTTATTATGTTATTATTTTTGTTGTAGGTGTTTTCGAAACCTCCTGATGTTATTCGAAAAGAATCAGTAAAGTGGTCACTTTATTTTTTAGGATTGGGGGTTGTAGATTGCATAGGATTATTTTTTTCAGTAAGTTATTTTTTCAGTAACAAATTTTGTTTTAGTGTAGTCTAAGAATTTTTTTTTTTATTTTTATTTTTTTTTTGAGTAATTGTTTATATATTACATATATTGTTTTGATATTGTAACATTCATTACATACACAATACATATTTTTAATTTGTTTGTAGTTTTGTTTAATATTTATGATCTAACATAGTTTTGGATTATTGACACAGATCTTTTTGTTCTGAAAGTTGCGTTGCTGCATGTGCAAATTGAAAGTTGGCCAAAAAACTCTTTCAACAAATTTTAAAATTAAATCCAAGTAAACTTTAATTCCACGATAAAATACCTTCAAGTTAATATTGAGTATTTGCCAGTAGCATAGCAAAGGGACTGTGGGGCCCGCAGATGCAAAAGGGGGCCAGAGTTATTAGGGGCCCAAGCCAACTTTTTTTTTTAAATTATAAAAGGTTGTAAAATATGTTTGAATATATTAGCTAATCTCATTATTTTTTTTCGACTGCCATTTTTTATGCAAAGTGGCTAATAAGTGGCATAGAGATCATATTTATATGAAAAATCTTTTTTTATTTTATTTTTCTTGATAGAAGTATTTGCGCTGGTTGTTCGAAGTTAAGCTTTTTATGATTTTTGACTAAAGTTAGAGCAATTTCCAAGCATTAGCGCGAATAGATTCTGATGTCAAATCCAGTTAATTTGTTCAAAGATATTTTCTTAATGTATTCCTGTACTAAAATAAACAATGTACTCATTAGTTTAAGAAATATGTTGTACCTATCTTTCACTAATTACAAAAGATAAATTAACACTTTGGTTTGTGTAGAGTGATTTTTTTGGCGATCTTTGAGCTTCTTTCCAATCATACAACAAACTGTGATTTTTATCTCATTTTAATACCAAATGGTGTTTTTTTAAGAAAAAAATACTGCTACTGGAAGCTTGGATCAAACATATCCAAATCCAAAATGGTTTTCTTAAATGGTTTGGTAAAGGTTGTTCAATATTTTGTTGTAAACTAAGCTAGATCAAAAGGTAACAATGTGATTAAAAATGTATATACACATTTTCTGTGGTTGTTTTAGAGGCTCCAAGAAGTCCTAATGGTCGCATCACAGAGCACTGCAGAAGAGCATTTAACTTGGAAGTTTACGCTTGTTTCATTTTTATAAAAAAGCTTAGATTAGGCATCCAATCACAGATCAGTGAAGGATCCAGTAATTTTTGTTTTTTGAGCTAATAGGCATAGCGCAAACTCCAAACATTTGCATGTTTATACTTATGTCAAATTATGATGCTTTGCAATATATTGTGATGATTGGAGGCTGGGAACAAAAAAAGCCCTAAAATTTTACCCACCAAACACCTCTATGGTTTTACAATGATTTGAATTTTACCTCTGCAGCAAGCTTGATATACATCTGCTAATAGTCTTGCTGATCTTAAAAGTGTAAATTAAAAATTATGCAATGTAGATAAAATAAGGTTTAAAATGACATTGCTAAAAATTTATTACATTTAATTTTGACAAGATAAAATCAAAGTGCTATTTTTTATTGATTTCATTTTTAATATATTTCTACTGATTTTATGAAAAGTCTGTCAATGGAAAAAAAATTGGTTTTATTGGTTTTTAAATAAAAACCTGACTGATTTTAGAGAGAATTTATGAAATTCAACCTTGTCAAACAGCTCCAAATTTGTTAATTTTATTTATGATATAAATAATTTATTCTCCGGCTTAACAGTTTTGTTTATGGCTATTGTTTTATGAAGCTCTCCGACATGAAGGCAGGAGGTTAACAAGAATAATGGTTGACCAGGAAACTTAGCTAATCTTGTACAAACCCCTTTTAAATAGCCAGGACTTGAAGTGGGTGAACTGTATGAGATCAAAAGCATCTAACAAATTTCTAATTTATATCTAAAAAATTAAACTACATTAATAAATAAATTACTACATTACTATCTACATACATAAATAAATAATAAACTACATTAATAATATAATACATACAATAATAATAAAATAAATAAATAAATAATAAACTACATTAATAAATACATTAATAAATAAATTGAATATATTTTAAAAATAAATAAATAAAAATTAAATAAAAAAAATTAAAATTAAAAAAAAAAAATTAAAAAGAAAATACATTAATAAATAAACAAACAAACTACATTAATAAATAAATAATAAACTAAAATATGCAATTTTATCAAGTGGCAAATATGATGTTAGAAAGTTTGAACTCAAAAAATGGTAACTAAGCTATTTTAAGGATTTATGTTTTTTTTAATAACTGAATTAATAACTTGCAAAAAATAAATTTTTATTTTGTAAAAAAGTCTTCTCAATTTCTGTTAAGTACTATCTCCTTTATAAAAGATTTTTTAGATGTTACTGCCTTTCCTATCAACTAAAAGGTAAGGCATAAGTATGGTAAAAAAATCACTCACCCCACACACCACACATACACCTTCAAACACAGAATAATAGTTAAAGTCAGTTTTCAGGAAAATACACTCTCTGATTTAGGGAATTAAAGGGTATATTGCTTGATTTTTTCTGCAGCACCTGTTACAAAATTTTTTAGAAAAATTTTTAATTATTTTTCAAATGAAATAATGCTCAAAATTTATTCTAGAAAACTGATTCATTTATTTAAAAATTTCAAATTCCAATTTAAAATAAAATTATGAAGTTCTGTGCTGCAGCAACAGGCTTTTTTGTTCATAAGTTTGCAAAAATTTGAGTTTCCATTATGAGTTAAAATAGATTGCTACCTTTCTTTAAAACTTATAACAAAAAAACTTTTTTTAATTATGGCATTTTAATTATTATTTTAGAAAAGAATTTTTATGAAATAAAATTTGGTATAAAAATATGAATATTTAAAAACATTAAAAAATTAAAAAACATTAAAATGAATTAAAAAAAAACATTCTACTGTTTCACTACATAGTCTTTAATACATTTAAAAAAAAAGTACTCGCTTGATGGACTGGTAGCAAGCGTACATAAAATCATTGTCGAAATATGATACTCTAAAACATTTTGATTATACTCTAGTAATTTTACATATGCATTGATCGTTCTTTTTCATCATAAAATGATGACAAAGAAGATGAAAAAGAACCTTTTGATTTCATTTGTCACTTTTTTTTTTTTTAACAAAATCAAAAAAAAAAGTTTCAGAAAAAAGTTTCACAAAAACTTTTTTTTTTCAATACTTTTTTTCTTTTACTTTTCAACATAGAATTTAGAACTTTTATAATTTAAATCGAAAAAGTAACACACAATTAAAAAGTAACACACAATTAAAAAGTAACACACAATTAAAAAGTAACACAATTAAAAAGTAACAAACAATTAAAAAGTAACACACAATTAAAAAAAAAAATTTTCTATAATTCATATGAAGCTTTATAAGTTTGCAGATATTCAAACAATGTGATTTTGTTAACACAATTAAAGCAGGAGTATTATTTTTTTTTCTTTTTTCTTATTTAGTTATTTCTAAGGTACTTTCTACTTGTTTCATTAATTAAAGAACATTTTGCATAAATATTACCAGCTGGTAATACTTATGTTTTGTACTTATATACATTTTTTCACATTTTGAATAAAGTGCAAGCTTTTTCTTTTGACACTTCTTGTTGAATCTGACTTTTTTCTTATAAGTCATCTTAATCATAACAAATCCAAATAATAATAATATAAAATAAATAAATAATAATAATAATATAAAATAAATAAATAATAATAATAATATTAAATAATAATAATATAAAATAAATAAATAATAATAATAATAATAAAATCTTAATCATAATCAAATCTTTTGATAAATTCAAAATTAAAGAATTTTTTACATTTGATTAATGTTTTACAATAAAAAAGAATTAAATATCTTTTTCAACTGAATTTATGATATTTTTACTACTAATCTCAAAACATATCCTATGCATCTTGTTGGTTGAAAATTTAAACAAAATTTATCCTATGCGTCTTATTAGTTGAATCTTTCAACAAAACATATCCTATGCATCTTATTTGTTAAATATTTCAACAAAATTTTGAAGAAATGGGTCACTGAAGTTATCTGATACTATGCTCATTATTTTTTATCCACTTTAAAATTGCAAAAAATTTTTAGCAAAGCATCTTTTAAATTGTCTTCAACATGACAGCCATTATGCAAAAGTTTAGACAAAAACTGATGAAATTTGTTTTGTCAGAAATGAAATGTGCTGCTGGAGACATGTAACTAAAGTTTTGACAAGGTGTCCATCTTTAATTAATAAATTTTTTTTGGGTAATTAAAGTTTTATTTTGGTGAAAATAAATTAGTAAAAATTAAAATGAGCAAGTCTGGTGATTTTTACAAGAGGTAAGACTTAACTGTAGTTATTCCTAAGACCACAAATGTTTGTGAAAAATATATTGAAACATGGTGGTAATGGTTTATTATGTTTAATATTTTTAGTTACTTTAGGGATGGTTAAAGTTAAAAAGAACTTGACTCCATAAAGAGAGCATTGCATTCCAAGACATAAGTTATACAGTTGTTTCAGTCCTTCTAGTTAACCTTAAGTCATTTTTTAGGGCTCCTTATGTGTTCTAGACAATGCACACCATAAGAACCATCAGATACACCATCCATGTGCAGCATGACACTATTAATACTATGATGTTTTTTAGCTGTTGATGGCCTCAGCCTCTCTGAAAACTACCACAGAGTTCAGGTAATCTTACTAGCAGCCCACCTCAAAATCATATAAGTGAATTTTAGAACTGTACTCTCATCAGGAGATAACAGAAAGAGTTGCATAACCACTATAAAGTAAAAATCTATGAATAGACTCAAGAAGATCCAGAATTCACCATTCTAGGTAGGAAATAATGTAACACAGGTTTCTATTTATGCCAGCCTAATAACTGAAAAAGGGGCATGTAGCTGGTCAACTATTATTTTGCTTACCCCTAAAGTCTTTACCTAGGAGGCTTTTTACAAGACAGCAGCTGAATGCAGTTAAGATCTGCCCAAGATGAGTATTTTTTATCAAGAAATCATGTCTATTCTCACCATGTATGCAACCAAGACCCCCGAGGCAGAGGAATACATACATACATACATACATACATACATACATACATACATACATACATACATACATACATACATACATACATACATACATACATACATATATACATACATACATACATAAATACGTACATACATACATACATACATACATACATACATACATACATACATACATACATACATACATACATACATACATACATACATACATACATACATACATACATACGTACTTACATACATACATACATACATACATACATACATACATACATACATACATACATACATACATACATACATAAAAAAATTTAATAAATATTTTATTGTTTTAGAGCTTTCTTTTTGGAATTGCAGGTGAAATTCTAACACGAAGGTTGAGAAAAGAAGCTTTTACTGCTATACTTCGACAGGTAAAACAGACTGTTAACAGTATTTTTCGGTGTTGTTAATAAAAATTAACATAGTGAATATGGGTACACATAAAATTTACCATATGATACATAACACATAGAACTTACCATATCATAGTCAAAACATAAAATTCACCATGATTCAACTAAAATATAGAATTCAGCATACACATCGAATTTTCCATACCAAGGCCAACAATTAAAGTAAACTGTACTTTTAATAAGTTTTCACTTTTTAAACTGCAGAAGTTTAATAATCAACATCTTTGTATTTAAGTTTTAATTAAGTAATGTTTAATTAAAGTTATTAAAATAGTTATCATTAATTAATTATCCAATCTTCATTATATAAACTATATACCATCTTTGGTTGCTATAATACCATTTTTTATTTGGAATTGAATTTTTGAATAAATTACTTCTAAAAATTGAAAAAAATATATACACTCATGGCCATTGAAATCCGACCACTGCTGAATATAAAGAAAAACAGTCTATGCACGCAAATAATGAATTTATTTTCTTCCCTTCTTCACATTAGCGTTTATTTTATTGCACTGTAAAATTTATTAAGCTGTATATCTCATTGTAGGGTATGAATTATTATTTAACTGTCACAATTTAATTATGACTATGAAGGAAGGTGTTCGTGCTAATATTAAACTTTAATGGGAGGATGGTGCAAGTGAGCGTCAGATATCAGCAAGATTGCAAATGCCAAAATCTACTGTTCATGATATTATACAACTAATCAAAGACACAGGATCCACTGTGCCCAGAAAACGTTTTGGTAAAGCTAGAATTACTAGCAAACAAACAGACAATATGATACGCAGGGCTGCTGTAAGAGATCTAACAATATCCAGCACACAAATCAGGGCAGATCTACCTAATGACGTCACAGTCAGCACTTGAACAATTAGAAGACGTTTATTGAAAGATGCAGGTCTACGTTCTCGTCGTCCAGCCCTCAAACCGCGACTGTTTTTAAAGAACATCCGTGATAGGATCGCATTTTGTAGAGCTCACAGACACTGGTCAATAACCAAATGGCGCCAGGTAATGTTCAGCGACGAGACACAAATAAAGCAATTCGCTCCGCATAAGTCATTAGTTCGTTGCCCCCCTAATCACCGTTTTAATGCAAGGTATACCGTACCAGCTGTCAAGCAATGTCCTTCAATCATGGTGTGGGGCCCGATAGCTTCATCTGGTCGATGTGGTATATATTTAATGCAGAAGGGACAGACTGTTAACTCCCAACAATATCTAAAAATCCTTCAAGAAAAGATTCCAAATTTGATGGAAATTTGTCGTTGCAAGATATTCCAGCATGATGGTGCACCGTGTCACCAATCTCGTCTTGTAAAATCTTGGTTAGAGGATCACAACGTTCAGGTTCTGGGTCCTTGGCCGGGATCATCCCCAGACTTGAACCCAATCAAAAATTGCTGGATCAAGTTAAAGTCAGCAGTATCCAGAACTAATCCTACATCACTGGACGATCTAGCGCACAAAATTCGTCAAGCTTGGATTACTGAAATAACGCCAAAATATTGTCAGGCTCTCGTGGATTCAATGCCAGGTCGCATTAATGCAGTCTTAAAAGCACATGGTGGTGCCACTAAATATTAAATTCAATGAACCTGAGAGTAAAAAACATTAATATAAACATTAAATATGTACAATATGTTACATTATAATCATTAATTGCTACTGTTATTCTTTTATTGCTTCAATACAATTGTTTATTACTACATTAAACTAGTTTTAAGTAAAATGATACTGGTGGTCAGATTTCAATGTCCATAACTGTATATAAAATTATATAAATTATGTAAATAATATATAAATATAATTTATTATATTGTATAAAAAGTATATCTAAGTCATTCTATTAATCTAAAATTTTATAATTATTGTTATATAAATTTGGATTATTATAGTAACAACAATTTAGATTGGATTATAGTAACGTCAAAGATGAACAAAAATCATTTTTGTTGTAAACTAAGGGTTGTGGGAAAGTAACCTGGGGATTTTAATGTTTGTTCGTTTTTTTTTTTTCAAATTTATAATTCTAATTTTTGATACTTTCAATCTGTAGCCATTTAGTATGACTGCATTCAGGCTTTAGTATGAATGCATTCAGGCTCATTAAATGTTTTATTAACTTCTAATTATGTCTCTCATGATCTGCCTATTACAATTTCATTAATTCCTAGGATATTTCATTTTTTGATGACCCAATGAACTCAACAGGTGCTTTGACAGCAAGACTTAATTCAGATGCATCTGCAGTAAAAGGGGTAATTTTTTATTGATAAATAGTATTTCTACATTATAAATAGTATTTTGTTTTAATTATTATAGTTTTATATTTAAATATACATTTATATTTATATGTATATGTATATATATATATATATATATATATATATATATATATATATATATATATATATATATATATATATATATATATATATATATATATATATATATATATATATTAGAGGCCCTGCAAAATTTCAAATCGAATCGAATCAAAAGTATGATTCGAGATATGATTTGAAAATTATAAATTATAATTGAAATATATATATATATATATATATATATATATATATATATATATATATATATATATATATATATATATATATATATATATATATATATAAAGAAAGAGATATTATTAAATTAATGTTATTATAAATATGATCAACGAGAAACACTTTTTTTCAGTTATATTTATTTATTATAATTATCCTAAATATTATTCTATATATCTTTTTATTTAAAAAAGGCAACATCATCACGACTTAACATTTTGACACAGTCAATTTTTATGGGAGTTACATCACTTGCTGTATCATTTTACTTCAGTTGGAAACTAACCCTTTTATTACTTGCTTTTGCCCCGATTCTTTTAATTGCTGGTGCTGCACATATGAAAATATTTTCAAATTTTGCATTGGAACAAGGAAAACATTTAGTTGATGCATGTGCCTCTGCACAAGAAGCTATTATGAACATAAGAACTGTTGCTTCATTGGGAAAAGAAGTTTATTTTATTGACGATTTTGTAAAAAAACTTTCAGGGCCATTCAGGTAAATTATTATCTTTAATTTTTTTTATTTTGTTAAATTTTAAATATATGATACTATAATGAAACTAAAAATGGCTACTGTGTATGTATATCAACATATTATGGTAATAAGGTGTTCATTTAAAGATTCTAATACATCAAAAGTAGTTTTATTGTAAGTTAAATAAATGTAATGAGGCAATCCTTATAACTTTTATGCACAATAAAATCTTTCTGATATTATATTTCTGCATTGATTACAGTTAACAAATCAACATTAGAAGATCAGAATCTGCATTGATTGAAAAAGAGTTGTTAGACTTGAGATGAGGGAGATAAGTTTTTTAATTGAAGATTCAAAGATTTTTTTTATAACTATATGAAGGTTTATTGGAAAATAGTTAGGAAAATCAGAATAATGCGGAGTTTTTAAAAATTAGAAGCATGAATGCCATTTTTCACCAGAAGCGTTAACAAGATTCAGTTAAGCACTTGTAATTGTTTAGAAAGTATTGAAGAAAGTTCTTGGGAACACTTTTGTAAGACTGTGGTGTAAATATTGTCAAGACTGTTTAAAAGTTTAAGTAAGAAATAACTTAAGCAACAAAAGCCGTAATTTTTTAAATGTCAGAACCATAACCATTCATTAAAAATTGGCTTTATGAATTTATACCTGTAACTCCTAATAGATGACCTTTAGAAATAACCCTATCACTTAGATCAACAATTAATTTTATCTAGCAATTAAGTGGTTAAGATATTTAAGAATGATCTGTTTCTCTGGTATATCAGGAAGAGTTTGATTATTAGATTCAAAAAATGAACCATAGGAAAGGTTCTTTGAAAATTGTTTGTTGCTATAACTGCCCTTTTCACCACTTTGGACTTGAATTTAAAAATTGAGAAATTATATTTAAAACTATATAAATTGTATTAAAATAAGTTATATAAATATTATATATGTAATATATAAATATAATTTATTGTATTATATAAAAAGTATATCTAAGTAATTCTATTAATCCAAAATTTTATAATAATTATATAATTTTGGATTATTATAGTAACAACAAAAATTAACAAAAATTATTATCATTGTAAACTGCGAGTTGTGGGCAAGTGACCTGACTAAGATTCTTTGTGTTCTTCCTTATTTTGCTTGCTTATTTGAATTTTAATTTTTATAAATAACTTTGTAGAATCTCTTTTGATAAAAAATTGTATGCATATACCTATACAAAAAAATGTACAAATAAAAGCGGTCTTGACAAGGTGCTTCAGCACAAGTATACAAGTTCATATTTACTTTTCTTGGCTTTGTTTTTTATCCAAATGTACCAGATTTTAGATCAGTCTTTTTTTTTTTGAAAAAAGCCTTGTTCTTCAATTAATTACTTTTGCAAATAAATATAACAACTTTTAAACACAAATTAGGGGGAAAATATTATTTATACATAAATGCTGCCTGCTACCCTAGATACTTCTATCTCCACTTTTTGCTAAACTACCTTAACCTACCTAGGGTAGCATTAGTTAGAAAAGCAAAAAAAATAGGTAAGCCGTAATTAGGTTAACAGTAGTTAAAATAGCAGTAACGTTAGGACAGCACTAAATATAAGGTTGCAATATAGTTAGGTTAGCAGTGAGGTTAGCTTCTACCCTAACTTTACTGCTTATCTTACTTTGATTAAAGTTGATTTTTGTAAACTTCTTTTTTGTTTTGTTTGAATCTCTATTTCAGCTTGATTTCATTTGTGACATTTCCGTCAAACTAAATCATTAATTGATATTTAATTTTTAAAGGAAATCAGTTTACAATTCATTAGCATTTGGGGTGTCATTTGGTTTATCCGGTTCAATAATGATGTTAGCAAATGCTGCTGCATTCACTCTTGGTGGAAAGCTTGTTCAAGACCATGAATTGGAATTTTCAAATATGTTTAAGTAAGTTTTCTTTTTATTTAATCAAGCTAAGTTTTCTAATTTAAAATTAACTCTGTAAACTGTCATATTTTTATTATAGTATATTAAATATATATATATATATATATATATATATATATATATATATATATATATATATATATATATATATATATATATATATATATATATATATATATATATATATATATATCAGAGTTATTTTTAAGTCACTTTTGAGTCTCAAGTCACTCAGTGACATGTCAAATCAAGTCTCAAGTCAAGTCATATTACAATCAAAGATTTCAGGGTGTGTGGTGGCTGTCAGTGTTGTCGCTAGGAGTTTGGAGGCCCCTTCCAAAACCTGTCAAAAGAACCACCCATTTCTTAAAAATGCCACCCACATTTTAGGGCATGAAGGAGTCTAGCCATGGCTCCCGTAGCTACATTTAAGCAGTCAAGTTGTAATTATAAAATACAGCGTGGGTATGATAATAATTGTAAGTTTATACTTTATTGTATTAAATTAATGCTTCAAAGCTGTAAAAGCAAAATAAACCTTCTGTAAAATAGTAGTTAAGGAGTCACAATGATATAAGCTGTTTAGTCTATTTACTAAAATTGACATTCTTTCATTCATTTTAAACAAAGGTTACTAATACTGATTTTCATAAAAATTATTATTGTAATTTTTCTGTGTTACATTTTAAAAACATAAACTGATAGTGTCAGAATTTAATTTAACCTTATTAAACTTGCACACTTAAGGCTCATAATAAGACCACCCTGACTAAATACCCTTTCAACAGGACACTGCTTGCAGACACCTCAATAGTATACATTGCAGCACTTTTGAGAATTAGTAATTCTTGCCTTTTTAGGGAAAAGGTTTTCTGGCAAGATTTTTCCACCCATGGCTGCTTGAATATGGCTAAACTGCTTGTTGCAGAACTGACAAATATATGAAAGAATATTTATTAGTTATGAGGTAGCTTCAAAATGAGCCCTGGATTGACATAAGATAGCTTCTCAGTCCAAAAGAAGCAAAAATTGAAATCCAAAACTGTGGTAATAACATATATCAAGTCATCAAATGGATAAGGTCAACATTTGCAAATATACCAGAAAATCTTTTTCTGGTATATTTGCAAATCAGACAGATAATTTGTATTAAATTGTTTTTATTAAAAAAGTTGCTATACAGCCCAACATTAGAAGGAGCTACTAATAAAACTGTCACATTTTTTTCACCTTGAGTAATATCAGTGGTTTCAAGAAATGGTTACAATTAATAAATAAGTTCTCTAAGGTGTACCTATTCTCTTTCATTTAGTATTAGATTGGGGTAACTTGAATCATTCAAAGTGGCAATGCTTTTTATGTGAAGGAATGTGGAATTCTATCTTGTTGCGTTTACTCAAGGAATACCCTGCTTGGAGCCAAACATTTTATCAAAAGCCTTATTTAATGTTATACTCGTATGAATCAAAGTGCATATTTTGGATGCTTTAGCTTGAGCAGAGTAATTTTTTGCCTCTTCTGGAAATTTGTAGAGAATGCTTTGCACATGTTTGAGGCATAGTCTGTCAAAACATACACAACTTTGTCAAATCAAATGTTTGGGAAATTCTTGCAGCCTGACATAAATTTTCAGTTAAGTTTTCCTTTGCATCCATTTGTATGTTTTCTGTTAATAAGTTTATAACAGAAAATGGCTAATAGTGAGCACTGAGGATCAAGAAAATCATTGTATTGCCTAAAATGTTCACTTTTTACCATAGATACGGGTAGTGATGCACCAACTACTAGATTTTTCACAACAGCTGCCAAAATTCTTTGTTCTTGGGGTGGGTACAGCCATAATTTGCAGTAGAACTCTCTTCCAAAGCAACAACAAATAATAAATGCAATCTCATTCTCATTTTTTATTCTATAAAATAAATATCCATTATTCTTAATGCTAAGCTTTATAAGTTAAGCTTAAAGCTTTATTTAAAAGCTTAAGGTTAGAATGTCTAATGTAGTGTGACACCACCACATACTGTCGTACAAGCTAATAAAAACTATAAGAACTGATATGGGATGTCATATTAGACTACTAGTCTACTAGACGTAGAGGATTTCTGTGGAGAGCGAATTAACCCACAGTTTCATCATACATTTTAAATATCAAATAAAATAAAAATAAATTAGCATTAATAAATAACCTAACCAGTTTGGTTAATCCTCTTTTAAAATTTCTCTGATATATATATATATATATATATATATATATATATATATATATATATATATATATATATATATATATATATATATATATATATATATATATATATATATATATATATATATATATATATATATATATATATATATATATATATATGTATGTATGTATGTATGTATGTATATATGAACATTTTAAGAAATGGTGTTATTTATTTGTATTTATTTACCAAGTAAACAATTATTATACCTATAATAGTTTAGTTCCTGAATTTTTAAAAAGTTAAAAATTTTAAAGAAACATTACAAATAAAAATTGTTTATCATGAATCATTTTAATTTGCTAGTTGATGAAAATCTAGGGCATGAATGTTTATTGTTTTGATGCTGTTGTTGTGATGTTATTGTCTTGATGGTATTAGGTTGGAAAATACCAAACATAACTTCTGTATTCATAGTTCATTAAAATTCTTGAATAATGATATTTAAGATTTTTAGAATTTCTTTTAAATTATGTCTTTAACAATTGTTTTTACATTTGTTGTGGTAGCGATTTGAGTGCTATTCTTTGTCAATTTCTATCACTGGTTGTGTTCTACTATATGCTAGGTCCAATCACTGATGTCATATCATGTCATCTCATATCATACTAGTGCTAAACTTCCTCAATAGATTGAATTAACTTCAAAAATTCTTTTTTTTTGTAAATTATTGTGAGTAACTGGTTTGAGAGAAAGGAAAAGGAAAAGTTTAAAAAAAAAAAGGATTGGTCCTCACAAAATAATAATAATTTTTACACCATTAGTAGTTTTATTTCACTTATTTTGAAAAAAACAACAAAATAGAACTTATGAAAAATCTATAAAATTTTATCCATAGTACTTCAGAATAAGATAACTCCCAACTACAGAATGTGTTTGTATATATGTATGTGTGTATCATTGTATACAAACACATACACACACATATATACATTTATATACATATATACATTTGCTTTTATTCAATAAAAATTGATTTGTTAATTTGATGTATAGAAGCCTACTTTAGTTTTATTAGTTTATAATGATAATATCCAGAGTTCTTGATACAATTGTATTTATACATAGATAAAAATACAAAATATTATAAGATTCTCTGTTAGAACATTATTATAGGTTGTTCCAAAAAAGAGATCTTGAATCTCCCATATGTATAACTGGTTTCTTATTTTTCTTATTTTAGAGTTGTTTTTGCAGTTGTATTTGGCGCTCTTATAGCAGGACAAATTTCGTCAATGGCTCCAAACTATATGGAAGCAAAAATTTCTGCTGCTCGTATGTTTAAGCTTCTTGATAAAATTCCAATGATTGATTCATTTAGTTCTTGTGGTAAAATCTTGGTGTGTATTGAATACAAATATATTTAATTTTAATAAAATTTTTACAATTCAAGTTTAAATGTCTTTGTTTCAAATTTTTTATGATGGAACTTATTTAAAGAAAAAAGTTAACAATAATTGTTTACTTAGAAAATACAATCTCACATGCTTCACACACATGCATGTTCATTTGTATGCAATATATTAGGCTGAATTAATATTTTTTTTACTGGGTATTTTCAATATTTTTGTTAAGGAAATTAAAATTGTGTATATACAGTCATGGACAACATTAAGAGGCATTGTTGATAAAATCAAAACTTGAACAATAAAAATGAAATTAATTACATCAGTATCTATATAACTGCAATAATTTATGTTTTTTTAAAATTTGATTCCAAAGAATATAAATAAAAATAAAATACATACATATAAATAAGTTATATAAATAAAACTCTTTTTAACTCATTGCAAAACTTTAATGAATGAAATTTTCTATAAAGACTGAAGTCTTGATAATCTCGTTTTCTGTTGTCTTGATAGTCTTGTTTTCTGTTGTCTTTATAGTCTCGTTTTCTGTTGTTAAAACAAAAGTTATAAAGTTATTTTTTTGCTGGTCTTCTTTGAAAATTCACCAAGCTTTATTTTTTAATTGCTACATTTTTTTTGCTGTGTAATAATTTAAAGGTTTTTTTTTTTTTATTAATTTGAGGGCTACTTTGTGTGTTTTTATCAGCATGAAATTTTATTGAAGAAATCAATTAGTCAGATTATTATTCTTTGTTACTATTGACTCTTAAGTCACTACTTGAAAAATTTCTTAAGTCACTACTTGAAAAATTTCCTAAGTCACTACTTGAAAAATTTCTACATTAAAGCAATTTGTTGATGCGCTATTTATAATTTTTTTTTGTGCATGTATGTTTTTTTTTTGCTTTTCTAATTTGATTTTTGTTTGTTTTATAGGATTCTGCTAAAGGAGAGGTTGTCTTCGATAATGTTTGTTTTAGTTATCCTTCTCGCCCTGACGCAAATGTATTGAATAATTTTTCTTTTAAAATTGAATTTGGTAAAAAAGTGGCTTTAGTTGGTTCATCAGGTTGTGGTAAAAGCACTTGCATTAGTCTTCTTGAAAGATTTTATGATCCCCAAAATGGTGTAATCAAATTTGACGATGTTGACATTAAAGATTTAAACATGAAATGGATGCGTTCATGCCTAGGGCTTGTATCTCAAGAGCCTGTGTTGTTTGCCAGAAGCATTAAGGAAAATATTTCTTATGGCTTAGAAAATGATGTTAGCATGGAAGACATAGAGCAGGCTGCAAAAAAAGCCAACATTCATGGATTTGTGATGAGTTTACCCAAAGTAATTTATGTTGTTTTTATAGTGGTGGTTGTTTTTATGTTTGGTGGTAAATGTTACTACCATTCATTTAATTACCCAAATTTTAAAAATTACAAATCTAATTATAATTTTACAAATCAGGTTAGGTGTCACTCATATAGTTAAAAACTAGTCAAAGGAGTAACACCTAAATAAAATAAACAAAAAATAAATCAACAACAACAGTATTATTAAATAATACAAAACATAAGTTAGCATAATTAAAAGAAACACATAACAAACAAAAAAAATGATGAAAATACAAAATGCACCCAATAATCTTAAAGTACAGGTAAAATAATAGGTGATAATAATATGTAATAACACAATATATAATAACAATCAAAGGGTTTTCATAACAATAACAGTAATATAATAGAAAATAATATTAACAATTATAATAATAATAAAAACATTTATAATAATAACGATTAAAATCAAACAATAATATTATGACCGTTATAAAAACCTCAACATCATATACAAAAAAACACGTAACAAATAAAAAAAAATACAAAAAAAGCAACAAAAAATTTAAAGTGTTTATAATGAATGAACAATATTGAAATGAAAGAAAGTGTGAGAAAGAGAAAAAAAAATGTATTAAAAAAATGTAATGATAAAATAGTATTAAAGAAAGTATCATTTCGTATATAAACACAAACTGAAAAAAAATAATAGGATATATATACACAAACTAAAAAAAAATAATAGAATATATATAAACAAACTAAAAAAAAATAATAGGATATATAAACACAAACTAAAATAAAATAATTGGATATATAAAAACTTTTATTTTTACTTGATTTAATTATTCAATTTCTTTTACATTATCATATTATTTTTCTCTTTTTTGATATTATTTTTCTCTTTTCTGATATATTTTTTGTTATATATGATATTCTTTTTTATATATTTTTTTATTAATTAGGGTTACGATACAGAGGTTGGTGATAAAGGTACACTAATATCTGGCGGACAAAAGCAAAGAATTGCTATTGCCCGTGCATTGATTCGAAATCCTAAAATTATGTTGCTCGATGAAGCTACTTCTGCTCTGGATTCTGAAAGTGAAAAGGTTTTATTTTTGTTAATTTATTTTATCTTGAAATATGAAATTTGGTGATAGCTATTATATAACAGGATTGAATGCTGGTTGCTAAGAGACCTTCAAATGACTTTTAAAATATAAAAACTTTCTTCAATTTTTTTCACTGTAAATATAGAATATGTAGAGAATACTACTTGTAGGTACAACCACAACATGTTAAGTGTTACGTAATATATTATTATAACGGTTCCTGGTTTCAATAGCTAACGAGTATCCAGTTGAGTTATCAAATTTGTTTTTTCTATAAGTTTCTCAAATTAGAGTTTTATTTTAGATTGTTCAAGAAGCGTTAGATGCAGCAATGGAAAATCGTAGTTCGATTGTTATTGCTCATAGACTCTCTACTATTCAAAATGCTGATGTAATTATTGTTATGCAAAATGGACGAATTGTAGAAGTTGGTACTCATTCTGATCTTATTGTTCGCAGAGGTGTTTACTACCAGTTAAACCAAGCTCAACTTTAACCACGCCTTTTAATCGGCCCTTGTAAGGCCAGATTTTCAAGGAAATTTTTTATAAATTTACATGTTTTTCTAAAATACTTGTAAATATGAGCCATTGAATATTTGTTTGTTTAATTTTTAACTAATATGAAATATTTTTAATGCGTAATATATTTTGAGTTAATATATTTGTCTTTTGTGAAATTATGAGAAATGTCAACTCTTTCTTTATATTTATTTCCATAACTGACTGTTCATAAATCCATATATATATATATATATATATATATATATATATATATATATATATATATATATATATATATATATATATATATATATATATATATATATATATATATATATATATATATATATATATATATATATATATATATATATATATATATATATATATATATATATACCATAATATATATATATTATATACCATTTTTTAATTTTCACTTTACAAATAACGCTGGAGTTCACTTTATTACTTTTATATTTTTCTGCCATTTTTTTTTTACAAAACAAAAGTAACAGTTTCTATGAACTAATTTTGCAATAAAGTTCAGTTAAAAGTGTTTACAATCTTTAAGATAATATTTTAATGCTTTCAGTTTCCACTAGAGGGCTGCGTTTTAATATCTTTAGTTGCCACTAAAGGGCTGTGTTTTAATGTCTTCAGTTCCCGCTAGACTAGGTTTTTATGAAAAACCACTTTTTTTCAAAAATAAATAGTAGGTTTTGAATTTCATGCTATATTATTCTACACGATGCTTTTATATCCAATGGTATTGTTGGCTTAGCATAGGAACAGCCATAAATAGTCATAAAAACCGATCCAACATTTTTGCGTGACGATAGTACTACTCAAGCGCTGACTGGATTTGACTTGGTGGTGATTGGATTTAAACTCATATTGCTCGATGGTCTGTGTTTTAACATTTCGTTACACGTTCTAACTAAATGAGGTATTCAACTGCAGATTTAATTATGAAATAAAAATAAATAAAATGTTATATAGAAAAATTTCTTGACCAATGTTTACAGCAGTGATTATTAATGTTAAATAAAAACTTAAAATGTGACTATAATTTTAACTTTATTAGTTGTAATGTCACTAACTACGCCACTTTTTATCATCAGCATCTGTATTATTTGCCGTATTATTTAAAGTACAGCTTACAATTTATTAGTTCTGATTTACTTTTGTTGCTTATTAATAAAGTAAAGAAACTTTAAATAGCAAAATTACCTTCTGCTGTAGTGACAACAAAGAGAAAGTTGTCCAATCTTTGGTTTATCAGCAGACTTACGTGAAAATGTCTTGCCGACATATAAACATGTCATGCTAAATTATCTTTCCTCAATGTAAAAAATATTTCTATCAAAAGTACAAAAATATTAACAAATCAAGTCCATTTTTCTAAATGCGCCAGTGAAAAAGTAAAAAAGGTACCAGAGAGATTATGTATATGGATGTATAAGGTCTCGAAACTAAAACTACTACAAAGCTGTGTAGCAACGAAGCAAGAAAAAACAGAGTAAAAAGTCCGTTACAGTCTAATTCATCGATACGGTGTTGTGCTATTATTGGCATTGAAGCTTGAGCAATATCATTATGCGGCTTTTAGAAACAAAGTTTTTATTTTTTATCTCCACATTCTGATTCTGTTAAGACTCTTGTTTGGAATACTTGCTCAGACTATGATGCTGACTTAGACTCAGGTGCTGAAGCAAACACTACTGTGTAGTGCTTGAAGATATGAACATAATTTCAAAAGGGTTCCAATCTAAAGTACCAATCTTAAACTACAGAATCTTAAACTACAGGTCTATATCCATACTACCTTGCTTTTTAAAATTGCTAGAGAGAATAATGTATAATAGTTTATATAATTATCTAACTGAGAACAACATGTTGTATTGCAAGCAATTTGGTTTAAAAAAAAAAAAAATTCTACTGACATGCAATAGTTGAACTTTCTAATCAAATATCTAACGCCTTTGATAATGACTGTTATACATTAGGAGTTTTTATTGATCTGTCAAAAGCTTTTGATACCGTAAATCACAATATTCTAATAAAAAAACTTGAAAATTACGGAGTGAAAAATAAAAACTTACTTTGGTTCAAAGGGTATCTGACAAACCGAAAGCAATTTTTATATTATGATCAAAATAAGACAACTTCGTATTTTATAACTTGCGGGGTTCCTCAGGGCTCAATTTTAGGACCACTCTTATTTCTATTGTACATAAATGACTTATACCTAGCAACAAATCTTTTAGATCTAATTTTGTTTGCAGATGATTCCAATCTTTTTTATTCTCACAGAGATATTAAAACACTCTTTAAAACAGTTAATGAACAGTTATGTATAGTTAATGAATGGTTCGTAAGTAACAAACTTTCATTAAATGTGGATAAAACAAAATATATACTTTTCCATAAAGTAAATAAATCTGAAAATATTCCTCTAAAATAACTAAATCTTATAATTAATAATACTTATATTAAAAGGGAAACAAACGTAAACTTTTTAGGAGTAAAACTGGATGAAAATTTACTGTGGTATTCACATATAAATAGTATTGAAACAACACCCTCAAAAAATATCACAATGATGTTTAAAGCTAAACCTTTTTTAAATGTAACATCCCTGAAAAAATTATATTTTGCCTTTATTCACAGTTATTTGTCTTACTGTAATATTGTGTGGGCTAGTCTGGCTATACAAAACTTAAGAAAATCTACAACAAACAAAAACATGCATGCAGAATAGTGTTTGGAGCCTACAGAAATACTCCTTGCAAACCACTTTTACGTACACTCGGTCCCTTAAATGTGTATAAACTCAATTTACACCAAGTTTTATTGTTTATGTTTAAAACAAAAATGGGATTGTCCCCAATAATTTTTCAAACCAATTTTAATAAAATTAATCATTAATATTCAACAAAGTTTTCTGATAACAACTTTGTTCTTCTTAAGTATAATTTAAAATTAACCTCCTATTCAATTAAATATCGCGGACCTTATCTGTGGAAAAAACTCCCAGATATTGTCAACAAAAACAAGACTACATTAGAGCAATTTAAAAATGAATCAAAACAATTGTTACTATTCAGGGATCTTAATTTATCTGACTTCAAATGTTTATTTTAAAGTTTAACCAAATAAAAACAAATTTGTTTATATCAATGAAGTTTAAGTAATGATGTTAAAAATTCATCTTGTGATAATGTTAATTATAAATTTTTTTTTTTTTTATTCAAAACTTTTTGTTTAAATGATTTTTAAATATTTTAGCGGTTGTTAGCATTTCAACAATTCTTAATTATTTGCTATTTGAATTTCTTAATTTTCTCAGTTATTTTCATTTTTAATTCTAATCTATATTAAAAAAAAAAGTAATAGATAAAAAAAAAAGATTCAAAGAAGGCAAAAGAAAAATGAAAATGAAAATATTCAAATGTTAAAAAGTTTTTATTTTGGTGGAAAAAAAGAACACTAGTTATTGATACTAACAAAGAAAAAAATATACGAAAAATTACCAAAGAGCAACATTTAATTTCAATGCATTAACCAGGGTCAAGGAATCTGGGGCATAAAGTGCTTGCACCAGGAGATGGATACAGAATTATAAGCACATTTTTAACTCAAATCAGCATTGAAAGGTGCAAGTTAGTTGCTATGGGCTGTGACGAAACAGTTGTCAATACCGGATTTCTAAATGCACCATTTAGATTATATTGCATTCTTTAAATTAGAACTAAAAAGACCTGTATCCTGGTTTATCTATCAAATACATGCAAATAAACTGCGTCTACGATATATAATTCAAAAACCCTATGAACCAACGCTCGGATCTAACAAATAGTCTGGACCAATCGGAAGAGAAATTGCATTTTGTGACACTTGCCAATAGTTAATTGCGTTAATTGTGTCACATAACCAAAAATAGACAAAATATCTCTTAGTTCTGATAAAAAATACTTACTTGATTTATGCACTGCAGTATCTATAAGTTATTGTCTATCCAAATAAGCTAACTGAAATCCTAAAATCATAGCCATCCCAGGCAGGTGACCATTGCAAACATAACGTATTTATTATGTAGGATGTAGCAAATCATCACACAAGCTGAAAGAAATTGTTAAGTTCGTTATTAAAGTTTACAACTATATGTGGTTCAATATAAAATGCTAGATGTAAATTTTTCCTCTCTAGCCTTTGAAGTAACTTTTTTTTACATTGTATGTGTCAAGTAAATATTTCAAGCATTTTTAAACAAAGAGATATTATATTTGCAGAGCCTGGTACAAAATTATGCCTTGTTCGGATTAGCCCTATACAAGGCTTATCCAAACAAAAGTCAATGTGCACAAAAAATGCTTTTTAATATGGTTTTAATTTAAACCGCATGATATTTTTTTAGGTAACATGTACTTCAGAGTTATTCCTAATATCAATGGACAAATAATGTATTTGAAGAAACATGCAAGAATGAAGTTATACATAAAATGCTAATATTTTCTTTTTTGTAAATATACTTTAAATTTGCCTTTTATTAAAGCAATTTTTTTTTTTAAGAAGCCACTTTTTTATTTCTCCAAGTTAAGACAACTTTTTCAGTGAGAACCTCGCCACATTCTCTTTGCACTCGTTTTCTTTCTTTTCTTTTATTGCTTATAGCTGTTAGAATGTCTTTGAAAGGAGTAGGCTTCGAATTTGCTTCATCGGTATAAAGAAACCGATGTCTAAAGGTTGTAAAGCGTAACTACTATTTGGAGGAAAACAAATGAATGCTATCATGCAGAATAGGGTGACAATTTTTTTGCACTTTTTAACCATTTTTTAAAAAAGTGCAAATACACTGTGTAAATACCTGTTCTCCATCTATGTACTAGCTTATATTGAAAATTTTACCTTACTAGGATCATTGGAACAGGTAGATGTATTTTTTCAATAATTTAAATATTCATCATTTGTTAGTTTTTGATGATGATGAATATTTAAAATGATGAATATTTAAATTTTTTTCAATAATTTAAATATTCATCATTTGTTAGCAAATGTTGGTTTGTATAGTTACTGTTTTATATTATTAAATTGACTTCGATCTGAGATAATTAACAAAAGAGTTTAACAAATAAAACATTTGCATTTACAGCATTATGCAACAATATCTACTTCGAATTAAC